AGATTTAGCTGAAACCCAAAGCTCAAGTCTCTAGTTATTGTTTTTGATATTGCGTCATCCGTATTTTATCATTGAAAAGTTAAGGGAAGAGAGTGTTTGCAGTGTTTTTTAAGATCTAGTATTTCAAGTCTGGAAAGTACTAGGTTGTTACGGAACATCTGGTTTAAGTAGGATGTAAAGTGATTGGTCACAAGTTTGCTTTTAAATTCGTTGGTTCCATGTCCAATTACACACTTTTAAATATGATTTTGAGGATAATTGTGGGAAATGAAGGAAGGTATCAACAAAGGTGACATTACTGCTGAAAGAGAGGATGTTTCTAAGTGGACACTCTAAAAGCTACTATAACACCTTCTCGTTTAAGAAACCTACTTTTACTTACTTAAACGGTTTTTCAATGAATGGCAAAAATGACAGCGAAAATAAAATATTCATTTTTGGTGGGATGGCTAAAACCGCCTGTTGGTTCTTTTAAACGTATTTTTTAATATTATTTTTACTAACAAACCTATCGATAAATATTTCTGGATGTCCATTGTTTTTTTGCCAAGGTTATAATTGTTTGTAATTTTTTTATAATTAGCAGGCGTTAATGAGAGTTTCAACATACGATGAGGCAAATGAATCTAACAGCAGGTATCATGGTGTCTATATATACATATAATAAACATTTTTCAAATAAAAGCTGTAACGAAAAGGAAAATCTTCAAAATTATAGAGCAAGAATCTAGAGCTATCTTGAATTTTTTTTCAGAAGAAATTAAACTTTTTCCGAATCTAATGTACTTTTTTTTGTAATGGAATTAAACTTTTACCACGCACAATTGAAATTTTACCTAATCATATTACGTTTTTGGCATATCGAATTGGGCCTTTCCCAAATCAAACTGATTTTTCAGATTAAAAAACTTTTTCCTGATCTAATATACTTTTTTGTAACTTTTTCCTAATCAAATTAAACTTTTGTCAATACAAAGTGAAGTTTTCCTTCATCAAATTAAACTTTTGCCAGGTAAAATTGAGCTTTTTTCAAATTAAACTTATGCCAGGTGAAATTGAGCTTTTTTCCAAATCAATTAAACTTTTTACGGCTCAATTTGATTTTTTTCCAGATCAATTAAACTTTGTACGGCTGTGAATCCAGATCAAATTTTAAAAAATATCCGGATCAAAATGAACATTTTTCATAATAAATTAAACATTTTCCAGGTAAAACTGAGCTTTTTTCAAATTAAACTTATGCCAGGTGAAATTAAGCTTTTTTCCAAATTAATTAAACTTTTGACGGCTCAATTTGATTTTTTTCCAGATCAATTAAACTTTGTACGGCTGTGAATCCAGATCAAATTTTAAAAAATATCCGGATCAAAATGAATATTTTTCATAACAAATTAAACGTTTTCCAGGTAAAATTGAGCTTTTTTCAAATCAATTAACCTACTTACGGCTCAATGTGATTTTTTTAGATCAAATTTAACTTTTTGTAGATTCAATTGAACTTTTTCCTAATCTAACTATACTTATTCCTAATTATAATTCAATGTTTTTCTAATCATATTAAAATTTTCCAGATGACATGAGTCTTTTCCAAATCAAATTGAACTCTATCCAGATAAAATGGAACTTTTGCTAAATCAAATTCCAGTTTTTCCTAATCAAATTGAACTTTTCCCAATTCGAGTTAAACTTTTACCTAATCAAATTGAACTCTTTCCAGATAAAATTGAGCTTTTTTACAAAGGAAATTAAACTTTTTCCAGCTCAAATTGCTTTTTAATCCAGATCAAATTAAACATTTTTCTAATCAAATTTAGCTTTTTCCAACTCAGGGCATAAAAGATGACCCGAATTAAGGTCGAAACAGTGGTAAAAAAATGGAAAGTGTTTTTCTAAACTACCTCATCCTTGAACGCTCTTCATGACAACAAGAAATTATGGAACAACAGGTCACTAACAAAACACACATTATTATTCATATGAGTTATCGTTTGTTATTAATATTTTATTATGTATGGCACAAATTTACGCTTTATTCAGTTTTTATATACAAGCACTAAAAATACAATTGCAATGTTCGTTTTTTTTACGATCCGTACATCTGTTCATACGTGCACTTGACAGTTAAATGAACGATTTGGAATTACTCCAACGTTAAAATCACCAGTGTAAAATGTATGCAAAATATGTTTGAACAACCTCTTCACAGGCCGGCTTGTCTATATTTAGAGAACGTCCATAAATTTGAGAGCCCGTGTATCTAGGGTCGGCCTTTACAAACATCCACTCTACGTACACACTTGGAAACTTATGCCAAATATTCCGTCTGTTAGAGGCCTATTTTTTATTCCATGGCATGTTTACAACAAAAAATTGTTATTTTTAATAATATTTTATTTTAATTGACTCATCGACCTCGATATAGTTGTTCTATTTTGTAATTGTATACTCTGGTTGATTGAAGGAATACTACCCTTACTTTGGCATGGGAGTTAATGAACTGTTGCCAGCAGATCTCCAATGATCAGGCATATTTAATTATTGATCTTTGCTTGAGAAAGTAACTACTACTGAGGTCATCATCCAAGTTTTATAGCCACCTATTCTGAATATACTGAGTGGTGTGGGAGAATGTATGTTTCATAATAAATTGTTTTTTGGGGGATGGAGGTTGAACAAAGCACACCCAGGCCATTTTTTAATGTGTTTCGTCCAAAATTTTCTAAATTGATAAGTTGTGATACTTGTCGGTCTAGGAGGAGAGAAATTTCAATCTAGATGTTTTATTCCTTCTGGCTGTGAGTCGTAATTTTCACACCTAGAGCTGAAAACGACTCTCTTTGAATTTGAATCTATATTCACGCCATACGGATAGAACTGAACCGACGATACCCGTATAAAACTCGATATTCCAGTTTTTGTAACAAACAAATATTACCAGCAAGCGTCGAGAATCACCTATCCCGGGTGAAACATACCTCGTCTAGGGGTTGGACTCCAGGGGCTACAAACAGCTAGATCATTTCAGCCAAAAAACCCTCTCTATTGTCTTCAAGAATTTTTTGTGGCCGATGTGATCTGTTTGCCCTCTGACGTATTCTATAGCTTGTATAATATTAAAATGTATAAACTGTTCTCGAATATAAATAAATATTTATTTGGAGGTCGTGAGATGCGGTCTGGTGTGACGTAGGTTTTAGAAAAACATTTTCTTTATCGTGCCCACGTTTCGATCTTTATTGAGATCATCTTCAGGGCCAGGGATTTATAAACATTGCTTACATTTAACAAATACATGTAGTATGGGGAAAAAAGTGAATTTATACAATGCTAGAAAATTTTAGATTAAAAAAATGAATTTATTCAATGTTAGAAAATTTTAGATTAAAAAAATTGAATGTAGAAAATGCTAGAAAATTTTAGATAAAAAAACTGAATGTATACAATGCTAGAAAATTTGAGATAAAAAATGAATTTATACAATGCTAGAAAATTGTAGATTAAAAAAATTGAATGTAGAAAATGCTAGAAAATTTTAGATAAAAAAACTGAATGTATACAATGCTAGAAAATTTTAGATAAAAAATGAATTTATACAATGCTAGAAAATTGTAGATTAAAAAAATTGAATGTAGAAAATGCTAGAAAATTTTAGATAAAAAAACTGAATGTATACAATGCTAGAAAATTTTAGATAAAAAATGAATTTATACAATGCTAGAAAATTGTAGATTAAAAAAATTGAATGTAGAAAATGCTAGAAAATTTTAGATAAAAAAACTGAATGTATACAATGCTAGAAAATTTTAGATAAAAAATGAATTTATACAATGCTAGAAAATTGTAGATTAAAAAAATTGAATGTAGAAAATGCTAGAAAANAACTGAATTTATACAATGCTAAAAAATTTTAGATTAAAAAAAATTGAATTTATGCAATGCTAGGTAATTTTAGATTAAAAAAATGAATTTATACAATGCTAGAAAATTTTAGATAAAAGAAATTGAATTTATACAATGCTAGAAAATTTTAGATTAAAAAAAACTGAATTTATACAATGCTAAAAAAGTTTAGATTAAAAAAGAATTTATACAGTGCTAGAAAATTTTAAATTAAAAACAAATAAATGAAACATTAAAACAACATTGCTTCCAATAAAAATCGGAACAGGGGATCAGATACTCGCTACCATGCTCAAACATGATTCTTAATTATTGCACCCTTCAATTTAGTCGTACATATCGAGCAACCTTTCCCTGTCTGGCTTTGGCCCAAAAGTCCTTAGCATATTCTTGATCGTGTGAGAATAACCCCTCTTCTACGAGGCATCCTCCAAAGGACCAAATCTTCTGAGCTGATTCTTTCTTTTGTATTACCTCGTTATCTATGTAACTTATTGCTTATCGCTCAGATTGTTACGAGAGTTAAACCCCAAACTTTATAAACTTAGCCAGAACGCATATTTTTTCAATGCCCCGGGTTAATTTGAAAACAAGAAGGGCCATGGCCTCAAAATCCTAAAAATGTCTCTGTTCTTCATCCCGCATACTTCGTGAAGAAATTTTGCCATTTAAAAATAAATAATTTGTTGGTTCGTCGTTTTTAATTGTTTAATGCGAGGATTGCAATGCAGTGTGGATAAAATTGTGAAGGTTGGAGAAATATACTTTATTTATATTCACCAGGGAAAGAATTTAAGTGGGTGATCCCGTTCGATGCAGCTTCGTGCATTCTCAAACACGGCATACGTGCGAGCTTGCATGGAAAAAACACCGGTCACCCTTCATTTTTTATTCCCATTGTAAATATACAGACGCAATAAATATTTTTGCATGATTAGGTGAACCAGAAGGTAATTAGAGAGGAGGCGTGTTTGGTTTCATTTTACATTTGTTGTTTGAAAAAATATATAAAATATTTGCCGGTTTTATTTGTCTTTTTGAAAAATGATAGTTTGCTTTGTAATTTGATTTATTTAATAATTTCAACATTTTGCCCCCAGGATTTTAAACAACAACTACATCACGACGCTGGACGAGGGGACTTTCAGAGGTTTATCCGAACTAAGGCATCTGTAAGTTATGATCTGATTTTACTTTCTTCGGCACCCCTCTTTACCGAAATGCTGTTTTTCTCTTCCTCCAGGTACCTCTACAAAAATAAAATTCAGAATGTTCACGAGCTGGCTTTTGATGGGATGCCAAAGCTGCAGCAGCTGTGAGTACTGGAAATAATTTGTACAGTTTTGAACAGAATTTGACTGTTTTTTTTTTCTTTTTAGATATTTGCACTACAACAGAATTGAAAATATCCACCCCAGGACCTTTGACCAGATACCCGAATTGCTGAGACTGTAATGAATATTCGATATTAAAACCTTAATGAATTTTAATAATTTTTTAATAATTAAAACAAAATGCAAGACGTCGGAAAAAAAAGATTTATAGGAAAAAATCAGGAAATATACTTTAACAAATAGAAAAGATTCTTGCATTTAAATAAAATGTAAAATAATATGAAATGGGTTGAATTCAGGTGGTATTATTTCCTTCAGATAAGATTTGTTGTATCCCCTGTGTAATTTTAAAAAAGTCATTTTAATTTATTTTGTATTAAGCCCTTCATAACTTAGGTTTAGCTTTAATGGCCAGGACCTTACTCTTAAAATCCTCCAAAGTGTACCCAACAAAGCAACAGTGTACATTACAACGACTTACAATGCAATATTTCACACGATTTATTTCTTCAACCGGTGGAAACTGTCTTTAACATCCCAATACCAAAAACACACAAATCCCCCTGTGACCTCTTATAGACCGATGAAGTCCCATATTCGACTGTGAAAACGTAAATCTCAACCATTAATTTGGATTCAGATCTCTTCATTCTACTTTTATTAATGCTTAGAGTAGTCGACGATATCTTCGGCTCTAGAAAGCAAACAGCCGTATTTCTGGACGTTACGGAAGCATTCGTTCGAGTGTGATACCCGGCCTCCACCTGTTATCTCATCCTAAAGTCCTTCCTCTCGGATCTATGGTTTAAAATGAGAATCAGCACCGATTTTTCACCCATCTCGCCAATCAAAGATGGAGTTTCACAAGGAAGTATCCTAGGTTCAATCCTGTACGCCATCTTAACTGCTGACATACCTACAATTCCGAACACCCAACTCACAACCTACACTGACGACACCGCAATCCTAACCTAGTCAGAGAAGCAATCTAACAACTCTGAAACTCATTATCGATTGTTGCACTCGTCGTCGAATCAGGTTGATCGAGCAAAACAACCAAGTAACATTTACGCTCAAACGTCACATCTGCTCACCGTGAACATAAACAACAAGGTAATACCACCATCCTACCAAGTCCGCTACCTTGGGCTTTACTTAGCGGACTTACATAGAACCACATACAAGATTAACAAGTAAAGAACTTGACAAAAGATCTGGACTACTCAGAAAACAACTGGGATCAAAATGAACAGCATACGTAACAAACTAACAGCTTATGGCTCCTCTTCACTATGGGCCAAATAGTGGCCCAACTGTACAGGAGGATGGCCTATAGTGACCCTTATTGGCCAAGGTTGGAAATTGTATTGGGAAACATTGGCTTTAGGAGCGGTCTCAGTAAACTCATCAAAGGAGGCCAACATGTGCGAACAAAATGCTCAGAAGAAGTTATCCACACACTGTGTCAACATTGGTCGGCCATTGCCACCCTAGCCAAACACAGCTGCAGCAGTTATTTTCTCCTATACCCATCACGGCACAGGAAAAGTAAGCAACTGGCCATTGAGACCATGCTGGCCAATATCAATATGCCCATAGCATGGTGCCCATCTTAGTGACCAATGCATTGACCTTTCAGGGCCCCTTAGTGTAGAGGGGCCGTTACAAAACACTCATCAAACCAAATTGGCCTTAAGGAGGTGAACTGTACGGCTGGCCAAATTTTCCGACATACAACATATCCAATCCTTTCAATAAAAATTTCTCCCATCTACGTCACCAATCAAATGATCCTTAAAAATCTTAAAATCCCATTCGTGAAGGATCTAATCCGAACATTCTTCCTCAATTTGGCCTGTAAACTATCGCTCCAACCTAACCCAATAGCTCAAAATCTTTCCTCGTGTCCTGTAGGTTTTCAATGTTTTTAATAAGTACGCACTTCACGATGTAAACAATTTATTTGTTTTATACGTTACAAGTTTTACAACAGCCAAAGCACTTCTAACCGCCACTACTTCCCTGTCGCAACGTGCTCTTTAGCAGTGTTTCCCAGTTATTAAAAAATTATCCAGATTTTATAAAACCTAATTTAATGCCTTCTAAAGTGACACATAATGTTAAACATTATATCTGTACTTCTAGTGGACCCCCCCCCCCCGTTTACTGTAAACCACGTCGACTAGACTCTCAAAAATTAAAAATTTCAAAAAATGAATTCCTATTCCTATTAAATCACGGTATACTGGGACCATCTAAATCACAGTCGGCCAGTCCTCTTTTACTTACAATCAAGAAAAACGGACAATGGCACGCATGTGGCGATTATCGGGCCCTCAATGCTCGCACAATACCAGACCGTTATTCAGTGCCTAGGGCTGAAGATGTTAGTGAAATCCTAGAGCATAAAAATATTTTTTCCAAAATAGATTTACACGCTGCCTTTTACCAAATTCCTCTTGCTGAAGAGGATAAACCTAAAACAGCAAATATAACGCCATTTGGCCTGTACGAATTCAATGTTATGCCTTTTGGCTTACGAAATGCTCCTAGCACTTTTCAAAGGTTTATTCATAACGTCTTATCTGAACTACCCTACTGTTTCGTTTATATAGATGTATATTTATATATTAATAGCCTCAAATTGTCACCGATCTGGGAACCCAGTTTCGTTCAGAATTATTTATATCACTGACTAAACTTTATGGGTCTAAACTCACCCATACCGTAGCCTATCATCCACAAAGTAATGGTAAAATAGAGCGACTACACCGAACAGCTGAAAGTTGTTTTTGAAAGACTGAATTCGTACGGACTTCGAATCAATATCAGCAAATCTGTTTTTGGAGTGGAAGAGGTGACTTTCTTAGGTTTTCTTATCTCAGGTGATGGTATCCGTCCGGATCCTGATCGCGTCAAGTTGATTGCAAATGTCAAAAGACCGGTCACAGTCAAAGACAGACAATTTCTGGGCTTCATTAATTTTTATCGTTTCCTTCCACATGCAGCAGAACAACAAGGCTTACTATATGAATACTTGAAACATGCCAAGAAAAATGACAAGCGTGAAATACATTGGACTGACGAATCTAATGAGCAATTTGAAAGTGCAAAAGAAGCATTGGTAGAAGCTACTCTCCTTACTTGCCCCAGTACAGATTATAGACTCGCTTTATATGTGGATGCTTCTAACTTTGCTGCAGGTGCTGTAATTCAACAATTTGAAAACAATGTTTGGAGACCAATCAGTTTCTTTTCAAAGAAATTTTCAGAAACACAACAGCGTTACTCAACGTATGACCGTGAACTCTTAAGTATTTACCTGGCTATAAAGCATTTTAGACATTATTTGGAAGGCAGGAATTTTACAATTTTTACTGACCATGCCCCATTAACTTACGCATTTCAACAAAAGCATGACAATGCTCCAGCCAGACGTCTTCGTCAACTTCAATATATTTCACAATTCACTACAGATTTACAGCATATCTCCGGTAAAAACAACATAGTAGCAGATCACCTATCACGTCGGGGTCACCAATGTAGGTTTTCAATGTTTTTAATAAGTACGCACTTCACGATGTAAACGATTTATTTGTTTTATACGTTACAAGTTTTACAACAGCTAAAGCACTTCTAACCGCCACTACTTTCCTGTCGCCACGTGCTCTTTAGCAGTGTTGCCCCACAGTCCCACCCTTACAATACTCCACGCCTTGTAAAACTACGATGGTCTTGAGACCTCCTGTCTTAACCCTTCAAACTAAATTAAAAAAGTCCAGCACTGGTTGAATTCTCCTGGTCTCCTGATCTATTATATTTGTATACAATTATATATACTATTTGCTCAATGTAATGTATTTTGTCCAAATAGCAATGAATAACATAATTTAAAAAAAAAACTTTAATGTATAATAAATGGAATAATGATCCACAATTTGCAAGCTGATTGTGACTGCATGCCAAATACCCAGTTTTGATCATTTCAGATCAGACTAACATGTAAATAATTTTAGGTTTCTCCATGAGAATCGTATAAAGCACATTTACCATGGTACTTTCGACAAATTGAAGGAGTTGCAAAGGCTGTAAGTAAAGCCTGCAGTACGAATTTTAAACTGTTTGTCATTGCTAAATATTTTTGCAGACGTCTCGACGGAAATGCGCTCGTCTGCGACTGCAGCATCATGTGGTTTAAAAAGATGCTCCAGGAAATGAAAGGCGCTCAGGTCGCTGCGTCATGCCAGTATCCCGAAAACATGAGAGGTCTTCCTGTTTCCGACATGCCCAACGAACTGAACTGCAGTAAGTTTGCGAATTGAAAAAAGTCAATCTGAACAGAAAGCGGCCAGAGGCGAATAATTGGCCGATATCCACCAGAAGCCGGGGCCGTAGTAATATATTAGTTCTCTATTCAAACGCCCCCTCCTCCTGATGATGTCTTATTCAAATTAAGTTGCCCAGAGGCTACTCTGTCACTGCTTAAGATACGCTTGATTTCCAAATTACTGGGCCTGATATTCATTCGTGATAAATGAAAATAATTAAAATAAATTATTCTATCCCGCTGTTTCGCGTGGAATGACAAATTGGGCTCTGATTTATTTGAACAGAATTCGTCAGCAGTGAAGAACCCTTTGGGCTGAATTGAATTAAAATATTTACAAAACTCGTGGATTAATTGAACATGAAATTTAATTTCCATTTGGAATAAAACAATAATTGATTCAAATATTGGAGCGTATAATAAAAATTAAAAACATTCATGCACAAAATAGAAAACAATCAAAAAACAAAGGCAACTAAATCACTAGATGACAAGAGGAAGAAAAAGTAATCATGTTCAAATATTTGGGAAAAAATGAGCACATTCATATCCTTGAGATTAAGTCAATATTATTCGACCATTAATAATAATTAATTAAGTGATTAGCTTAATCCAGTTACAGATTGAGTTTCAGCATTGGCTGGTTTCTTATAACACATGTCCTCCGGGTGTAGTTCTAGTCATGGGTTTAGTGTTTCTTAAAATTTAAGCTTAAAAAATTCTGTGCTGATATATTGCGGAGGTAGCAGATTTTTGTTAAAATTTGTAGGGTTGTTAAACTCAAGATAATCCTACTTTATTCTTTCACTGAAAAAATTGCGACCAAGGGGATCCTAAAGAGTTTAGCATTACAATTCAGCATTTATTTGGCACTACAAAAATGATATTTTATTCTTGAACATTTTTAAAAGTATTTTTAATTATTTAAACAAATATAAAATTATTACATCTATTAGGTTTCATGGTCCGATTGACCAAATAAATTCTTTTCAATTATGTGTGATTTTAGTGACCGTTAATCAATGATTTTTCGGAGATCTCCGAATAATCTTTTCAATTAATTAATCTTTAATTAAGGTTTTTTAAGTACTATCTTATACTGAGATCTTATCCGACGGATCGATTTTGTCGAGTCCGTCAGGGAACTGAATTCTCACCTTATAAACGCATAAGGGCGGGTGTTCCTCAGGGAAGCATACTTGGCACTTTTCTATTTTCCATATACACTGCAGATATTCCTATACATGTTAACATTTCGACACACACATTCGCTGATGATACAGCGATTCTTACACGCAATTCGGACCCCTCAATTAACACTCAACACTTACAACAACACCTGAATGAATTAACAATATGGTTCGCAAAGTGGAGAATAAAGGTAAACCTAACAAAAAGCACACAGATCAATTTTACCTTACATAAAAATGTCTGTCCTGCGGTGAGTATAATTGGAATTCCATTACCTACCACTGATCTTGTGCGTTATCTTGGACTTTTCATGGATAAACAACTGACTTGGAATCCCCATACAAGACTGAAAAGACAGCAAACAAACCGACGTTATAAATTGTTAAAAAGACTACTCGATTCACGATCAAAATTAGACCTTGAAAATAAATTTTTAATTTACAAGACAATGATTAGACCTCTCTGGGCGTACGGTTGTGAAGTGTGGGGCTCAACCAAGGATTCCAATTCCCAGCGTCTCCAATCAATCCAATCTAAAATTCTCCATCAAATTATAAATGCTCCTGTTTACGTTTCAAATTACACTATCCACAAAGACCTACACATCCCGTTTGTACATGAACATAAAAAATTTCATCAATCACTGAACACACATAGTAATCTATTCGTAAGAAATTTATCACTTCCAACCCTACCTGAAAATCCTCCAAGACGATTGAAGCGAAAGTGGCCCCGAGACCTTCTCATTGTGTGAAGACTGAACAAGATATCAGTGATTGAGTGTTACCACTGGGCAACTTCTCCTACAAGAGCCTCAAATTCAACATATAATTGAAAGATAATTCAACATATACGAACATATTTACTTAATACATCACTTGTAGTTGTAAATACCAAATAAATGTAATAAAAAAAAAAATTAAGGTTTTGGTTTATTTAGCTGAAGATCATGGGTTCGAATCCCGCCCGTGACACTGACTTTTTTATCTCAACCAAAACCTTAATTAAAGATTAATTAATTGAAAAAAATATAAAATTATTATTTATATTGGACTCACTAGTCTTATTTGTTTTGCAAAGATGAACCTAGGATAGTAGAAGGGCCTCATGATGTTGAGGTCAACTTTGGAGGTTCCGCCTCATTCACCTGCAGGGTTGACGGAGATCCTCATCCAAAAATCACTTGGATGCTAAATAAGTATTATCTCAAATAATTTTAATCTTTTGTTGCATAAATATTACTATCTATGTAATTTTAGCAATGAAATTGATATGACTAATCCAAAGTACCATGTGAAAGAAGACGGCACACTTATTGTTTCATCGACGACTTCAGCCGATCTGGGTGTGTATGAGTGCATGGCCCAATCGCCATACGGATCCTTGAAATCTGACGCTGCAACGATGAAGCACAAAAAGAAAAGAGGTAGTATTTCTTTAAACTATTACTTTTAATTAATAATTTTTCTTTTATAAATTTAGAAAAGCTGGAATTCGTGCGGAGGCCTATTGACCAAGTGGCCAAAGAAGGTGACACCGTACAGCTGGAATGTTCAGTCAAAGGTGATGTCGCTCCATTGATTACTTGGACAAAAGACGACCTACCCGTACCTGCCGCAAGAGCTACAATTTCTCCTGAAGGGACATTAACAATAAACTCAGTTACTATCGAAGATTCAGCCCTATACAGGTGCAATGTTGACAGTATCGGAGGACGAATTTCAACATCAGCAGAACTTGTAGTAAATGGTAAGAAATTAAAAAAATTGTTTAAAAGTTTAATTGTTCTAAAAAGCATTCCAAAAACATACTAATTAATTTTACTGACAAAATTCAATATGTTTTCAGAAGATAGTAGAATATTGTGTATGCTTAATTTCAGCTCCACCTAAAATTACAACCCCGCCTGAAAGCCAATGGGTCAAAAGCGGTGTTGATGTGGAAATGAAGTGTGTAGCATATGGCTATCCAAATCCAATTATAACATGGTACAAAGATGGAAACACTGTCCAGCCAACTGATAGAATTAAATTAAAGGAAGATAGTAAGTCTAAGAAAATTAAACAAGTTGTAAAACAATACGCACATGAAAACATCAAAGAATACTTACAAAATTTTTGAAGAAAAATAAAGCTGTCCTATAAGAAAAAAAAAAAACTTGAATAACACTAACTTGAATCAGTCAACAAGATTTGTTATTTCACTTAGTTAATTGCCATTATAAAAATTGGATACTTTTTTCTTCAAAAATTCAATTAATTAAAAAATTCGAAATTCATTGATTTGTTACAATTTTAGACCACATTGTAATAATTCAAAAGGTAGAAGAGACTGACAGTGGTCTCTATACTTGCTTGGCTCAAAGCATTCATGGAAATGCTGAATCGAACGGAGAACTTAGAGTGCGTCCAGATGGGCCAAGGCCCCCGAGTTTCATCGAGACTCCTTACCCGTTGGTTGCAACAATCGGTACATCAGTAGAAATGCCTTGCAGGGCGCAAGGTGACCCACAGCCAGTGATCTCCTGGTCTAAAAATGACCAACCTTTAAACAGTGATTCAAAACATAGGTAAGTTTTTGACATTTGACTTAACTTTTATGACCCAGGCTTTTGATAATGTCTGGCATCCTTTATAAACCTAAATGCTTCCTATTCACTCTTTATTACATTATACTGGGCCATTATTAACAAAAACTGCTTCTGAGTGAGATGTGGCAATATGTACTCAAATATTAGGGTACCATGGTAGTCAAGTGGTTAGGGCATCATACTCATAATTGCCACCCTCTAATGGTTCTGGGTTTGAATCCCACAGAACCCTGACTTTTTAGTTGATAATAGAATAAAAAAAAAGTAAAGTGGTTTGACCCCTAGTCCATGATTATTGGGTAGTTGGACGTTTAGCTCACCTACATGGCTGGAATTACTTTATTTTACTCAGCTATTAGACCAGTACAAATCGGTGTTCCTCAAGGGAGCGTTCTTGGTCCCATCCTGTTTACCACTTATACTACAGACTTTTTACGCATTCCAACACCAACATTGCCACCCATGTGGAAACCGCTATTCTCTTCTTTTAAAAAAGTTTTCCAACATCCAAAAACATTTTGAGTTAGGAGACTGCAGTGGCTGAGTGGTTAGGATGTCCGACTTTATTTGCCATGCTTAGTAGTTCTGGGTTCGAATTCCGGCAGAGCTAATGCCTTTGTAATTTATAATAGTATGAAAAATGTATTATAAAGTGGTTTGACCCCTAGTCCATGACAGAAAATGGATAGTTGGACGTTTAGCTCACCTACATGGCTGGAATTACTTTATTTTACTCAGCTATTAGACCAGTACAAATCGGTGTTCCTCAAGGGAGTGTTCTTGGTCCCATCCTGTTTACCACTTATACTACAGACTTTTTACACATTCCAACACCAACATTGCCACCCATGTGGAAACCGCTATTCTCTTCTTTTAAAAAAGTTTTCCAACATCCAAAAACATTTTGAGTTAGAGGACTGCAGTGGCTCAGTGGTTACGATGTCTGACTTATTTTCCATGCTTAGTAGTTCTGGGTTCGAATTCCGGCAGAGCTAATGCCTTTGTAATTTGTAATAGTATGAAAAATGTATTGTGAAGTGGTTTGACCCCTAGTCCATGACACCAAACGAGTTGTTGGACATTAAGCCCATATAAATGGAGGGAATTACTTTACTTACTTTTTACTTTATGCAGATCTTAGACCAATATTAGGCCAGAGTCTCTCAAGAGAACATTCTTGGTCCCACCTTGTATACCATTTATTCTGCTAACTTTTCTGTTCATCTCAACTTCATCATTGTCACCTAGGCAGATTGATGTTACTGCTATTTTCTTCTATCCAAAAAAAAATTCCAACATCCAATAACATGAGTCAATCAAAGGCTGTCGCAAAAAGTAGAGGATAAGACTAAATGAGGATAATGTACCCAGTGTGCATTTACATGAAAAAACAGTCATGCTGTCCTGTACATCAACAACAAGGAGCTACCAACATTCACTCAAGTTAGCTACTATAACTAGGACTATACCTATTCAGCAGAATGATATCGAACCCCACTCAAGAGTTAAGAAGCAACTTAACAGAAGACTTAGACAACTACTGACATATTAAGGGAAAATATCTGAACTGCCAAAATTCAACTAACTCTACATAAGAAATTACTGCAACCACTTTGGAATATAGAGTAGAACTATCAATCGTCCAGCCATCCAACATCCTGCGGATCCAATCCTTCCAACCAAAAGTACTCAGACAGATCCACTACACACAATAACCTCGAAATTCCTTTTGTCACTCTTGATCCATACTAACCCTACAGCTCAAGCCCTTTCTGCACTTTCTCATCCCAAGCCACATTGGCTTAAATGACTGTCTCGAGAGCTCCTACCTCCTTTATTCCTCGTAATGAGGGTCAGCATTGCCTGGTTAACTTTTACTACCCAGTGCTGGCTATAATGCAAGTATTGTGACCAGAACAAAAACCATATACACACAAATTTGTAAAATGTATTTTCATGTGTACAGGCTGCAAATAAATTATTTATTTGAATTTATTATTTGACTGAGTCCAAATTTCAGAGTACACCCAAGCGGTCATTTAAGAATTTACAATCTCTCCAACAATGATAGTGGACTTTACGTTTGTAAAGCGGTAAATACTTTTGGTGAAAAGAGTGTTAGTGCAACACTTACACTAGCAGAAGGTATGTTAATAATAATTTTATTTATAAAACAACTTTTATTTTTTTATACGTATAATTAAGTTTACTACATAAATTAACAGGTTTAAATGATTACATAATCACAAATGCAGTTCATGATGCAGAAGCATCAGTTGATCATGCAATTAGTTCAACGATATCTGATATATTTTCTAGCAACGCTTCAAAGTCGCCTAACGATTTGATGAGATTATTCCGGTAATAAAAAACATGATATTGCATTAAAAATAGAGTAATTATTCAGATTAATTTCAGTTATCCTGACTCAGAAGCAAGAGCAGCAGTTAGAGCAGCTGATGTTTATGAGAATGCCTTGTTAAACATAAGAAAGCATATTACAAGTGGTTTACATTATAATGGCACACAAGGTATTAAAGTATAACGCAAAAAATATTTTTTATTCTGCAATTGTGTCTTATTTATTTTCCTCAGATTTTTCTTATGAGGAAGTTCTATCTCCAGACCAACTGTTACTCATCGCTAGATTATCGGGATGTATGGAACATCAGACAGCGAATTGTAGTGACATGTGTTTCCATAACAAATATCGTACGATTGACGGTACATGCAACAATCTTCAACACCCGTATTGGGGAGCTTCCCACATTGCTTTCAGACGGCTCTTAAAGCCAATTTACGAAAACGGATTTAGCCAGCCTGTTGGTTGGAACAAAGATCGGAAATACCACGGCTACTCATTGCCTTTGGCGAGATCCGTTTCCCTGGCTTTGATAAAAACGGAAAACACATCACAAGACGATGAAATCACTCATATGGTAATGCAATGGGGACAGTTTCTCGATCATGATTTGGACCATGCTATACCTTCAACCACAGCTGAAAGTTGGGATGGTGTTAATTGTAAAAAGAGCTGTAGTTTTTCACCACCTTGCTTCCCTATGGAGGTAAATGATTTATACACAAGCCTTCCAAACTGAAAATTAAAAAACAAAAATTTTCAGATGATGGCAGACGACCCAAGGCCTAAAAAGCGGCGTTGTATGGATTTTATCAGATCCAGTGCCATTTGTGGTTCAGGTGTTACTTCAGTTTTCTTTAATAAAATCCAACCAAGAGAACAAATCAACCAGCTCACAGCCTTTATCGATGGCTCACAGGTAATTAATCAATCTAATTTTATATCCTCTCAATAAATTTTGAAATATGTTGTAGGTTTATGGTTTCCACTTAAATAGAAGTATACTGCTTCGTGATTATTCACAAGATCTTGGATTGTTAAGAGTCGGTATTGACCCACCGGTTAAAGACAAAGGGTTACTACCACAAGCAGGTGACAATGAAGTAGACTGCAGAAGGGATCCGACTGAAAGTGACTTGAAATGTTTCTTGGCCGGAGACATTAGAGTTAATGAACAGGTAGAGTACTGACATGAAAAAAACCTTAAAATCAAATTTAAGATTTTAAAATATGTTAAACTGCGTTCAGGTTAGTTTAATTGCCATGCATACTATCTGGCTCAGAGAACATAACAGGATTGCTAAAGAGCTCAAAGAAGTAAACCCACATTGGACTGGTGAAATTCTGTTCCATGAAGCGCGGAAAGTAGTTGGCGCAGAAATGCAGCACATAACATATCAGCATTGGCTCCCACACATTTTAGGACCAAAAGGTTACTCTAATTTTCATTTATGTTATAAATTATCCTTTAAAATTCAAACTTAGCAAGGTGCCTAGGTTAGGCAAGTTTTAAAGTTTTTTAACTTTAACAGGAATGGAGATGCTAGGCCCTTATACAGGCTACAACCCTAATGTTGACCCTGGGATTTCGAATGTTTTTGCAACTGCTGCCCTTCGGTTCGGCCACACTTTGATCAATCCCGTATTATCACGTCTGGATGAGAATTTCAGAAGCATCCCTCAGGTAAATTCTACAATTTTTGTCGAGTCACACTTCATGAAAGAGCTGGTTTCTAGGGTGATTTACCATTGGGCAAAGCGTTTTTCGCGCCGTGGAGAGTTATCGAAGAAGGAGGCATAGATGCTTTAATGAGAGGAATGTTTATTTCACCGGCTAAGAGGAAACAACCCAAGCAAAACCTGAACTCAGAATTAACTGAGCATTTGTTTACATCTTTCCATGCCGTTGCATTGGACCTGGCCTCGATGAACGTCCAAAGGTCTAGAGATCATGGAATACCATTCTACAACGAATTCAGAGAATATTGCAATCTGACCAAGGCCAGTAGTTTCGACGACCTCAAAAATGAGATTACAGATGATGAAGTAAGAAGGATATTGCAACAGCTATATGGACATCCTGGTTTGTTTTATTTTTAAATAACAAAAATCAATCAGACTTGAATATTTTAATAACATTTCAGATAACATTGATATATTTGTTGGTGGCATATTAGAAGATCAAATTGATGGTGCTCGAGTAGGACCAACATTCAGATGTCTTTTAGTCGAACAATTTAGAAGGATTCGGGATGGTGATAGGTACATGAATTTACAGAGCTAGTTTTAATATCTGTTATTTAAATATTTATTATCACAGGTTTTGGTATGAAAACCCTTCAACATTCAAAGCTTCTCAGCTGCCTCAGATAAAGCAGAGTTTGCTAAGCCGGATATTATGTGACAATGGTGACAACATAACAAGAGTGACTCCAAACGTATTCCTGTTACCGCATTTGCAAACACCAAATATTATAGATTGTACTGATGTTCCTAGTATAGATTTAAGGTTCTGGTATGAATGTGAAGGTATTAAAAAATATCTTTAATTAGGTCTTTATGAATTGTCATTTACAAAATCTTCTCTGTTAGATTGTGAAAAAGGCGCATCGTCGCGTAATCACTTCGATGAAAATGTCTCTAATCTAATGGAAAACAAAGTAGACGGGCTTGTAGAAGAGGTTGAGGAACTAAAGAAGACAGTGAAAAATCTCAAAAGAAAACTGAGAAGCTTGCAGAAAGATGGATGTACGGATCACAAAGGAAAACAGAGGAATGATGGTGAAACTTGGCAAAAATCTCCCTGTGTTATGTGTGAATGTGAGGTAAGATATTTCACTCGACTGATTTGAATTATGTATACAAATTTAAAATAGGATTTGATAGAAAATTGAAAAAAAAAATTGCCTATCGGGACATATGGGTCTGGAAAGTAATGAAAAGACAGGCTGAGGTTGGAATATCCTAACCTCCCAACTTAACCTCTGCGATTGGACCTCTGATGCTAAAAATGTATTATGCAAAAAAATGTTGCAGTGTCAGTGGGCCAGGTCGGAAGAGAAGCTATCATGGCACTTGGAGGATCTGACTTGTAAAGGAGGGGGTCATCCTCACCAAATTAAAAATAGGCCATGCGATGTTTTTAGGCCACAGGCATTTAATTTGGGCCAAGGCTCCTGTATGTGTCTAATTGTAGAGAAAGGTTGCTCGCTGTGTCCCACCTAGTTGAAGGGTGCAATTCTTTGGCTCTATATAGGAAGCATGTAGGAAGGCCACCCGATATGACTTATGCTTGAGCACATCAGTATCTGGGTCCCCTGTTCTGATTTTTGGAGGAAACAGGGTTGTTTTATTGTATATAATTCATCATACTTTAATCTAAAGTCTTGGTTGAGATGAAAAAGTTGAACTTTAGATAAAAAGTATAATTAATTGAAATAATTAAATAGGTCAATTAAGACCGCTAAACATATATAGTGTATATAATACTTACAGTTTTGTGTCCCTAGCATTTGTTGAGAGTGAATGCAACCTAACTGTGTGAGTGGTATGCAAATAAGTAAGAATGTATTTAAAAGTGAGTGGGAGTGTGAATGGAGTAAGAAATTGATTGTGTTGGGCTGAAATGACCAGTTGATAGCCCCTGTCGCCCAACCTCACCAGACAAATAAGACTGAGGTGTTTCCCTGGGGTGGGTGATTCTTGAGACCTGCCAGTAGGAAAAGGCCATGGGGAAAAACGAACCCCCCCTCGATCTGAGTAGATTATAGTGTTCTTCCATTTTTATAACTAGCTGGCCAGCTTCAGGTTGTTAATTAGCCTCCATAGGCTTGCCAGCAACTCCTTGGTATAGGATAGCTTTTAGCTTCACTTTCCTAGTTGCAAGAATCTTCACCTACATAACCCTCACAAAAGCATAAAACATGTTCTGCGGTCTCCTTTTCTTCCTGGCAGTAAGTTTTTGTAGATTGCAGAACCTGAAATTGCTAGTGGACTGTAAGAAATGATAGGTATATATGTGTATATATTGTACATACATGTGCAAATTTAGCATAAATAAATCAGTAAATAATTTTAATTTATTTAATCTTTTGTGATGTTACATAATTTTGGTTTTGTTCCAGGGAAAACAGGTCTCGTGTCTGCGGAAATCCTGTCCTAAACTAAACTGTAGTCAAGTAGAAACACCCCCAAATAAATGTTGTCCCCAATGTGTAAATTGAAGCACACTTACTTCTTTCTGAGGTTATGTTGCTTAACTTTAAAAAACTGCCATTATTTTTATTGTATATATTATTAAGTGACGTGTGCTTCCTCTTTTTCTTTCATCAAGAAAACTTTGCTAAAATGGTTATATAATTGTTGTATTATACAGTCTAATGTTTAAATGTTTATTAATATTTTAAGCTTTTATAACCTATTGTGATAAATGTTTGTTAAGTTATTATTTTAAACTATTTGTCTCATTTTGGTTAGGTTGTTTGGTAGATAAATAACCTCATACCCATCCACTGAATGTGGTTCTTTCACTTTATATCACACAGTAATGCAACACCTCTGAGGGTCCAATGCCTCGGATTGTTATCGGTTTCAAAGTCGATTGAGCCTACATATTTTTGGTCAGTCCTTTGCGGCTTCCTGTAAATGGGACATTCATACAGTTTTGGATCTTTGCCTGCTGTCGTGTTAATGGCGTATATGTAAATAACAGGCATCTGTTCATAAAGCACTTTTGACTTGCTCTCTATCAACTTCCCAGTGCGACGGTCCAAGCTGGCTCCCTCAAGAAACAAGCCGTGGACGTACACTCCTTCTGGCGGAACATCGGATATCTCCTCTTTATTGTGCCTGGTAATGAGGTTCTGAAGAACGACCGAATCCAAAGCCCAGCCTTTATGTCCCCGAGTCACTTCCTAGTAATTTAAAGGATAAGACTGACCAAGATTTACATTAAAAATAAATTTACCTGTCTCATCGCCGTGAGAAACCCTTGTGGATTGAAAAACCCTGTCATCCAGAACACATTCGGCCTCCCGTTGTGAAGCCACTTTTTAAATTGGGCCTCTCTTTCAAGTAGTTCAGTGTACCAAAAACCAAGAGTCGCAGATTCCCATGAACACTACGACCATAATTTTAAAAATTGTGTTTAGAAATAAAATTGTAATTAATGTAATATAGAGGAAATAAAAACTATAATCTTTTTTGTGTGAATAGTTTTGATGATGAATTGTAAATATCTTGTTGACACACCTTCTGCCAAGTGTTTGGAATCCTAGCATCGTACATTGCATCTAAGGCTTGACGCAAACTGTGAGACATGACTATAGTACCATCAATGGCTAGTTTGACGTCGACAAGAGTTGTCCGTACCTCCTTTATCACTTTTTGAATTCTATCAATTTCCTGTCGCAAGAAGATATTCATCGGCAGAAGAGCGCCCATCCTTTGAAGAGCATCTTTTACCTAAAAATTATAAACATTTATTTCTAAACCAAAGCAGAAAACATTCTTAAATACCTCAAAACTGTTGTAAGCTTGGGGGAGTTTTTCCAGCATGTCTTTGGCCAGCTGGTAAACAACGGTTTCTCTTGTCTCTCCTCCTTGGGAGCCACCCTCTTTTGGCTGGACATTCAAAATTGTATCAAGTATGCCGTTTGCCGTATTGATCTGATACCTGGTGAAAACCATATTTGAACAGTGTAAATACAATTAATTTATATTAATGGTTCCTTACGTAATATCAGCATTAGGATGAAGGCCAAATACTTCAGGTGTATCCGTTGTTGGCAGGCTATTTATGTAGTCGATATATCCTTGAATACTTCTAGTTAATGGTATCTTATATCCGTGATAGAATTCAAAACCAGGGCGCAATAAGACATCACAAAACCAAACCTATCGAAAAGTATTATTACATGCTTTGTAAAAACATGCTAATTTTAACAAAATTACTTGAGTGAATGTCGTTAAGAGCCTTTTGTCAAAATCATCTGTCACCCTCCCACCATACTGCACTTCTCCAAGCATGTAGCACACAGTTGCCCATGATATACCCTGTAGATTCAAAACAATAAGGCATGATCAAAACCATTGATCCACCAACACCAGTACTAACCTTTTTAGGGTCCATATCATCTAGATGGTTTTGAACAAACTGCACACTAGCTGCAAAATCAGCCTGGTTGAATTCATAGGGTATGTTCCAACCAAGAGGGCCAAACTTTCTTCTTTCTTGAACTATCGTATGTAAAAATGCAACTGCATAAAGCAAAGGCGGCCACTGAGATTGGGACGAGTAATCCAAAAAGTCCTGCAACAACTGACTAATAGAATGCTCATCAATTTAGCTAATGAATGCACAAATACTTGGGTAATGTTTTGGTAAGTCCTTTTCATGCTTGCTCTTATTCCTTGAGGAGGTTCATTTGTGAATTTTATCGCCATCTTTGAAAGACAAAAATTGAGTGAATATAATTTAATAGAAATATGTCAATTTAGTAATTACCTGAAGAAGGCCAATTGGAAACTGGGTATGAACCTCGGTCGTTAACCATATTCTAAATGACTGATCGATTGTGTCCGCATCAGCCAAGAAATCCATCACTTCAGAGCAAAATGGCAAAGAAAGGTGAATGTTTTGAAGAAGTACCCAACCACCGTTATTCATAGCATCATTCATAAGTTGTCGGGCGGTAATTTCCTGGCCTTGTCCCATTGAGACTGATCGAAGGACTTGAAAAATAAAACAAAAACACGATTAACAATCAAATCCTGTCAGATTTTTATATACTATAACATAAAAACATGAAATTACTTATATCATTTCCTTTAGCAAGAGCGGAAATTTGAGGAGATGGATCAGAACCTATTGAAAGTATGCAAATTAATGGTGTCCATGGCTCGGACTCAATCCATGTTGTTTCTAAATCAAGAATACATGGTTCTCCATAATCTGGGCCTAGTGAATCTTAAAAAAAAATCAATAAATTAACGGCAATAATGCAATAAAATTGTATTTTTCAAAATAAAATACCTATGATATATTTTCTAGCTTGAGATAAAGTCCTATCAGGACTCCAGGACCTTATAAGCAACAATTTTCTAAAAACGTCCAATGATTTCTGATAACCGCAAGGAATGTCAGCTTCTTCCGGCTTTTCTTTTTCATACCATGACCTCCACTCCTTTTCATTTTGTTTTATCTATGCCAAGTGAAAAGATTGTATTTGGGACACAGAAATAGAAGAAGAAAATAAAATTAACCTTTAATAACACTTCATTGAATGCTTCTAGCTTGCTGATCTCGACAAGATTTAGCCATGTGATATCTAAAATCCACCTGAAAGGCTTTGGCGTTACAGCATTTAGATCAAGAGATGCTCCACCTATAAAAAAACAGCTTGTGTACTATTATTAGTCGTATATTTTAAATTTGCTTCTTAAAAAGGCAGACTCTTAGCAATGATGAAGAAGTTTGCTCATACAACTTCTATAAAGCTTTTGCCTTGAGTTTATTCTTTTTCATTTTAGGGATAGGCTTGCAACCTGTTCAATCTTCATGTGAACAATGGTTGTACTATTTCGATGATCGTTATGTCAAACCATGTTTTTTCTATTGGGATTCATTTGACTTGGGATTTACTTGACGGTATCTTTCTTTTCACTATCGACTGTATTCCTAACTCCTCTCAGCTTAATTATGACTTGATACCTCAATGTACAAACAATTCCTTTGACTCTCTAAGAACTTAAATTCTCTTGTGCTTGTGTTCAAGATTTGCTCCCAAATTTCAGCACTGTGGTCGCATCACTTTGTCAAATTCAAGTTTGCTTCTTTTTCATCCTTTTTTCCCAAGAGCTCAGTAAATGCTGCCACACATTTTTTGAAATTGTCCAACTTTGGCCACATCATTGTCCTGCTTGTAGGTCAGGTCGCAGCCAAGGAAGGTAAGATACGGCACCTGGCCTACCCAACTTAGGTTTGCTAGAGATTTGCTAGACATTTCCCTTGCATTATTGAGAGTGAAAAGAGCAAGCTAGAAATAATATTCTGTTCTTTCTACAACCATCTGATCATTGACAACAGAGCATATTGAAAATAAGTCCATTTGATTTAGCAATATGCCAGGAGTCATTCATATTATCTTTAATGGACCATGTCGTAGATGTAGATGTTAAAAAGAACAAGAAATAACCAACATCCTTGTTGAACACTTTAATTAATTCCTGTAGCTTTTTCCTTCAAATTAACGTTTTTATGTTCAAATTAACCCTTTTTTAATTTCAAATTAACTGTTTTTAACTTTAATTCACATTTTTTTAGTTTTAAATGAGCCATCTTTATTTATTTATTTTATTTTATGAGGGTATGAACCCACAGGGTGCCAGTGTTTTTGAAAAAGTCCATTTGTAAGGCTGTCGGGTTCGAATGCAGGGCCACTGGATTTGAACCCAGGACTTTTACCTTATCAGGAGATGAGCGCCATGTCAAACCGTTGCAACCACCGATATACCTATGCAGCACTTTCTTTAAAACAACTTGGTATGAAAAATTATGCAAAAATTCCTGCATTGGAAAAGTTAATCGGTCTCTGAAAAACCAGTTGACAATTAATTTAGTATAAAAATATATAAAATCCAATATTAAATATAAAAAGAAGACCTGACCGCATCTCACGATATCTGAATAACTATCGATTAACGGTCACTAATCTCTACACATATAAAAAGAAGAATCTTTTATTTCAATATTTAATTTTACATAATTTTTCATTTTAGTGTAATTAATTTTCATATTTCTATTATATAAAAGCCAAATTATTATTTTAAACAATTCTCAAATACAAAAATATTTTTTACTTTTATATAACTTTCAATTTTAACTATAATTAAGTTTGTCTAAGGGCCCAATTATTTTAAATTTAAAAAATGTACGTTTCATATAATACTTAAGTTTTTTAATGCTTCAGAGAAATCGATAATTTGAAATTAAAAAAGGTTAATTTAAAGTAAAACAGGGTAAAATTTGAAGTTAAAAAAAAGTTGATTTGGTTCAAAATATGGCTAATTCTAAATTAATTTGAAGGGAAAAAGTTCACACAACACTCCATCTTGAAGAAAAAAGAAAATTCAGTTTGTTACTAAGTCGGTCTTCAAAGAAATTTGAGATTGTCTGTAAAAGACAAATGTGCCAATCTGTAAACATATTTATGATTTTTTTTCCCCAGATGATGGCCTTAAAATAGACCGAAAGCTTGGCAGTAACAACTGAATTTGCTTCAGTCAAGTATCAAGACCATACCTTGATCCAGAGTGTTCGTGAGTGGAAAAATGGTCGATATTTCCAATACGGAAAATGGAAAAAGTAACGATGAGCTGGGTTATCGACCTGCTGGAAACATAAAGTTTTCTTGGAGGATCTACAGAATAGGTCAACACAGGGAAAAAACTTCCTTTCAGTTTTCACCGAGCTTTCGACAGTTTTTATACTGTCATCTTCAGGGCCTGTTTTATTATCATACAAAAACAACAATTAAAAACATGAAAAAACAATTGCACAAAAATTGAAAATTTTATATATCTTACTTTAACCTTAATGGGGAAATAAAAAGAAACATGGTGTCGTGGGCACCGAAGTACATTACGCTTTTTGGTTCTCAGCATCTAAACATTATTTACATTTTAATAAGTTAATAATTAAAAAAATTACAAATATAAGTACAAATGAAAACGTGGTTGAGAAAAGGTCACCTCGTAAAAGTCTAAAAAACTAGTAAAACACCTTTTGTTTTCAGGTACATGCGATCACAGCATGTTTCTTATACATATATATAATTAACTTTTCTTACATTTAAATATTCTACATTAAGATCACAGATTAAAAAGATAAAACTGGCCCTGAAGATGACAGTACAAAAACTATCGAAAGCTCAGCAAAAACTGAAAGGAAGTTTTTTCCCTGTGTTGAACTCTTCCATAGATCCTCCGAAAAACAAAATGGAAAAAGTTCTATCAGTTCAGTCAACTCTTTCTCAGTACTGAAAGGGATTTCTGTCTTCTCATATAAGTTCTTTATGCTTTTTTTATTTTTATTTATTTATTTTTTTTTATTTTTATTTTTTTAATTTTTTTTTGTGTAGTTAATAAATTATTTTGTGAAGACCTGAAACTGTATCAAAAAATATTTGATCTTGATAATAAAGTACAAAATCATTGATGTTTAGTGCATCGACAAATGGAAATGGAAACACCACAAAATATGTAAAAAGCTAGACTATTAACTAGACAATTTCTCGCTTTTTATTGTAACAAATTGCATCCAAAGTCTCATTTTTACTCGGAGAATGTAGTGAAAAGAAAATTTACCTTTAATAAATGCCAAAAACTCATTGTGCGTGATTTTTCCTTCATGGAAGTCTATTTTCATAGCTAACATCAAAGTGAACAGAGGCTTGTGCCTTTCGTAAAGGCTCCTTTGCGTATAGATCCATACCTGATAGGTCAAAAAGCTCAGAATATTTTCTATCCTTTCAAGAGTGTCTTTACTCTTCGGTGACCTAAAAATAAAACTTTCAATAAACCTTGAACCTTGTAAAATAAACCGGAACATTTTGTAATAATACTTTGTGATGGAGAAATCGAAAATGTTTAAAAATTGCTTGAGCGAATTCTGATACATGATGTTTACATAACTCATTTCAACAATCAGGAAGTATAAAATAGATCCTCTCGCAGCTACAGCACGGAATTCTTCTCTGGCAATAGTAATTTTCTGTTCAGTCTCTTCTGAAACTACTAGTTTGGCGTTTACCTCTTCAGATGTTGCTTTGGTAACTTGAAGCACATCAATAAGAGCTTCGTCATCTACTAAAGAACCCTGAAAAATTAAACATTTCAGAATTTTGTTTAATCATCAAAAATTGAATTAATAACCTTTGATGAAGTAAGCCTGTGGAGAAGATTACTTTCGAGTTCTTTCATTCTCCTTTGGTTTTTAATAACAGATTCAAACAAAGCCACCCTTTCTCCTTCAAGTTCTGACTTTTCCATTAATATTACTCTTCCTGTACAGCAATAACAGAATCTCAGATTTAAAAGTCAAATTTCCTATTTTTATGGGAACATACCTAAAAGCTGATCTTCCAAGCCTTGCATCGTAACCGTAAAATCTATTATTGATGTTTTTGCGCTGATTTCTGGCGAATAGGCAGGATTTGGAAGTTTTGTTGTGATGTAAAGCATGAATCCAGGCATGACGTCTGTCTCTTTGTCTCCAACGACGACCTTTTAGGACATTCATTAAAAACATGATATAATTGCACATATATCAGGTTTTAAAATACATCCAAAGTGTTTTTTGTTGTCCTCAAGTGATATAAAGTTTTCCCCATTAATAGTTTTGCTGAGCATGGTGAGGTGGAAATTTAAAGGGGTAGATAATAGTGGAATAAGGTGGATGGGGTAGAACATCCTAGCCAAGCTTCAACAATTTCTGGAACATCGTTTAGGGTGAATATTATCCTAGTGGAAAACAACACTCCAGTTAGCCGTTGTTGGCCATTTTTGGTCAATTGGTGATTTTAATTGCTCCAATATAATTAAAGATTTTGCTGGGCGGAAAAAACTCATAATAAAGAACCTCCTTCTGATCTCACCAAATTCACAACATTACTTTTATGGATGTTATCTGGCTTTTAAAGTTGTTAACAATGTATCATTTTCTCCAGGATTTTCCTCTTTGAATATTACTGTAAAGAACCCACTTTTCATCCCCAGTCATCAATATTTTAAAAATGGGTCATTTACATGGTGATTTAGGACATGGAGAAGTCTAATAAATTTTTCTTAGTTTACATACAAAGAACCTATATTGCACCAATAAATTCATCCAGCTGCTTTCAGGCTGGAATGCTTGTAGGAGTTTAGTTGTGTCTCTGCGATGCCTCCTGACATTGAGTGTGCGCTATTTGTGACAAAATTTTGAATTTAGTCATCCTCAGCGGTTGAAGAATGACCAGATGAAAGCTTGGCATCTTCCAAATCAAAATTTCCTCTTCTGAAGCGCCACTTATTGCCATCACCGCACACATCACAGATTTTCCTAGCTGAGTTGCAGTGAATTGAGGCAAAAATGCACCATTTTTCCTCCATTTTTAAATCAGCAAAGCATTAAAAATATGGCTTCTCTAACGAAACTGATGAATAAAAACCTAAAATAAGAACTAACTCCTTTTCAGGGTGGTTAATTCATTAATTATTCAGAGAATGTGAGATGCAGTCTGGTGTGACGTAGGCTTTAGAAAAACATTTTCTTTATCGTGCCAACGTTTCAATCTTCATTGAGATCATCTTCAGGGCCTGGGATTTATAAACATTGTTTAAATTTTACAAATACATGTAGGATGTGAAAAAAATGAATTTGTACAATGATAGAAAATTTTAGATTTTAAAAATAGAATGAATTTATACAATGCTAGAAAAAATTTTTAAATAAAAAAAGTGAATTTATACAATGATAGAAAATTTTAGATTTAAGCAATGCTTGAAAATTTTAGATTCAATCGAAGTATTTGTACTTATTCAAAGTTTTCGTTTTCTGCGTCACACCAGACCGCATCTCACAATCTCCGATAATCATTGACTAACGATCACTAACCACCACTCGTTAATTCATTACTTGCTTCGAAACACATGAGCGATAAAATAAAATTATCACTACAGACTTATTTCACAACCCAATATACATAAATAACTTAGCATAAATCCAAAACACTCGAACCTTTTCCATAGAACCAGATTTTATAAAATTCTTTTCCAAAACATTGTCAATAACTGGATCTAAGTCTTCTCCCACATCTTCTATAAGCAGCGGTCTGCCTAGCGAGAGACAATCTTCCAAATGCGTCCTGAAGTATTTGTGATTGAGCGACGTAATCTGAAAAAAAGTGAAAGCGTTATTCTTAAAGGAGAAATTTCCAAAAATTATTTTAAAGAACCTGTAACTCATTAGTAGATTCTTTGTTTTTAATCCACATTTTGGCTTGATTTTGTGGATCGATTAGAAGTGGATACGAACTGGATTTTGTCACAATTAACGCATTTTGAACTGAGAGTTCATCATTTGGAAGGCCTTGTAGAGTCCATTCTGAAACCTAAAATTAAAACTAATACGATATTCTTTTTATACATGCAATGGTCTAAACTTACAGTAGAAGATTCAACAAGCATATTAATAATGTTTAAGTTCACTGTAAATGGAATGTGATGAGAGTCTAAAATTTCTGTCCAACTGGTCATTAAATTTAATCTAAATTGTTGGTTATATGGACCACAATATGAGAGGAAAGCAGTAGCCAGAAGTACATCTCCGACCAACCTGTAAATTGCTTATTAAATAAATTGCTACAAATCTTTTTTTAATGAACTTATCCCAATGATTAGTCACTCAAGAACTTAAGCGAATCATACCTTCCTAACTGAGCCTTGAATTCTTTACTCTGGCATGTCCAACGGATTTTTTCTCCCCCCAGACCATTTATGAGGGCAGTTGCTGCTGTCATTTTACGAAGACAGCTGTTAGCAGCATCAGTTAGTCTTTGTTTTTCTCTGACTGCTCCATCATATTGAGCTTTCACGTCTGCAAGAGCTTTTTCCCTTGAAGCTAGTTCTTCTTCGGCTGCAGCCAAATCGTCCATGGCTAACTTGAGACGAGCCTCTTGTAGGGCTAAATTGGCCTAAAATTGTACAAAGCAAAATGTAAATAATCGCAGGGGAAAAATAAACAGAAATATTTAAGAAAGATGATCTTGTAAATAAATAACTAGACATTCAGTAAATATTATGGTATTAGAAACACACCTTTAATGGTAAAACTTCTTTATTGACGCTGTGGAAAAATGCCATTGCTTTCGTCCATGACAACAACCCTGCAACATCGCCGCAGACCCTTTTGGCTGTCTCCATGTTGTAATCTTCCATGTTAAAATAAGGCTGGAGTAAGTCGATCATCTCATTGGTGATGGAATCTTTTGGGTAGTTTTGAAGTTGGAGTAAAAACGTGGTGCTGGCCATCATCTGTAATTATACAAAATAATAGTTAAATTGGTTATGCTATTTTATCTGAAATTGTACCTTTAGTGATTCTGCCCATGAAGGTTTAGGACACGGTGCTGCACTATCAGCAATCACTGGGTGCAATTTCCTGTGAAAAAATATCAGAACACAATCCATAATTCTCATGATGAGATGGGGTGGCCTTCCCAATTTACGGACAGTTGCTATAAAAAATATATTTTTGTTTAAACTTTACACTATAATTTTTTTTTCTTTACCAATATGGGCTGGTTTTATAGTGTTCAAAGCTGCTTCGGCTTCTTCTAGAGCTGGTTTTGCAGCTTCAAGCTTCCTCTCAGCCATTGCCTTCTCTATTGCAATGACTGCGACTAAAGCTTCTGCTTTTTCTTTTACTTTCATAACCTTTGATTAAAGAAAGTGAAGTTATTTTTTAGCAACATAACTTTTCAGGTTTTATTTTACCTGATTTTTGACAGTTTCTGCTTGGTGTGCTCGTTCAGTCACTTCAACAAGTACATCTTCAGCCTTTTTAGATGCGATCGCCAACTCTTTTTCCATTGTAGCCAATTCAGTCTTCAATATTCCGACGCAAACAGATGCCTCTTCGAGCTTAGAAAGACCAGTGTCCATTCTCAAGGCACCCTCTCCTAACTCTTTCTGCTTCTCGACATATATTTTTTTGTAGGCAGCTATGAAGTTCAAGTATGATTTCGGAGTCACATGTGTTGCTCGGCGAAACCTATTTTTGTTTTTAAATTGGTACATTCATTTTAGAAAATAATAAACCAATTATTTAAGAAAAAACCTTTGAAAATATTCAGTAGATGTATTCGTGACTATGTCCTGGATGTAACCAAGTGCATCAACCAGATCTATTTTTACTTGATCATCACATTCGATACTGAACTCCGTTAAGAAATGTTTGGCCACTGCGACAAGAGCATCCCTTGGCCAAGGCTGGAACCAGTCTAATGTGCAGCCTGATATAAGGGCGGGAAATCTCATTGCTCTGTACCTGAATTTTTCTCCGACCTAAAAAGATATTTTCTTATTTTTGTTAAAAAAAAAAAAAATCAATCTTACTGGTGAAAAGCATAAGACGACATGGAGATTTTGGCATGTCCTCTGTATAAAATATTCCATCACTGTCTCATTATTCAATGTGCGTTTAGGGTTTTCTCGTCTCATTATAGGGGTGAGTTCTGATATAATTTCCTGTTGCTCATCACGTGTAAATAAATTAGAAATGACACCTAAAACATGCAGCATTAAACATTAATCAATTACACTTACTTTTCGAATACTTTCTTCGAATTAATTAAAAAAAACTGTGGATTTTGTAGGTTATTGAAGTTTTCAAGTTGCAATTAATAACATTATCTGATTTTCCAGTATGATTCCTTTTAAAAAAGTACCAAGCTTAAATTTAATTTTGAATAATTTGTTTAAGTTGTGGCAAGTGGTCAAGAATGAAGTAATTTAGATAAACACCTTTTTTCAAGTTTTTTGCCAATGTTTCAACCTTTATTTGAGACATCTTCAGAGCCATCAAAATTTATATTATTTACCTTTATTATTTATATTTACTTATCATATTTTTTGCTTAATTATTTTCTTCAAATCAAAATATGTTTTGTAATTCACCCGACCCCTGAAGATGATACAAATAAAGATCAAAATGGCAAAAAAATGAAAAAGTGTTTAACTAAAATACTTCATTCCTGACTGCTCCTCACTGATTCAAAAAATTATTGAACCACCTGTCGCTAAATAGCTTACATTACTTTTGAATAATTAAAATAATAGCATTGTAGAAATGCGAAAAGATTTTTTTTCAATAACAACTCCAATTTTTTTTTTTTCAAACAATAGTAAACAATCTGTTGTCACCACAGCAAGGATGAGTGGACTAGAATAGAATAATCAAGTTAAATTTATTATGTTATTTGTGTTTTTCTGGTCATCCTATCTACCTAACCTCGATGATTTAGTCTATTTTTACATGAATCCATTATTGAAGATGGCAAAATGATGAAAAGCCTTTGACATACCAACACAGCAAGGATGAGTGGTCCAGGATGATCAAAAACAACTAAGCTTAAATTAATTAATTCAATTCGTTCTGATCATCCTGCCTACCTAACCTCGATGATTTAGTCTGTCTCCACATAAATCTACCTCTAAAGATGGTGAAATGCTGAAAAGCATCTGACAGACCCACACAGAGAAGATGAGTGGATCAGGATGATCAGGAACAGCAAAGCTAAATTTAATTTATTTGAATTCTTCTGATCATTCTGTCTACCTAACCTTGATGGTTTAGTCCATTTTCACACAAATCCATCACTGAAGATGGTGAAATGCTGAAAAGCATCTGACAGACCCTTACAGGGAAGATGAGTGGATCAGGATGATCAGAAACAGCAAAGCTAAATTTAATTTATTTGAGTTCTTCTGATCATTCTGTCTACCTAACCTTGATGATTTAGTCCATTTTCATACAAATCCTTTAATGAAGATGGCCAAATGCTGAAAAGCATCTGACAGACACACACAGCAAGGATATTCAGACCAAACTACACATTAATTTTCATATTATGTACTACTTTAAACATTGGCTTACCTGATGATAAAATGTTATTTAAATATTCCAAAAATATTTCTTCCTTGATGTCCAAATCTGTAAAAATGAATGTGGTCCCTTTCCCTTGAATGCCACAAGATCTATAAAGAAACTTAAGATCCTCCATGAAGTTTGCGACATTATAAGACCTATGAATTAACATTTTGGTAATTCCTAAAATTAAAAGCAATGCAGCAATAATATACCTGGATATGGCTATCTGAAATGTTTTATATCCAGCAATGAAAGAAGCCAGTTTAGTCAGAGATTGCTTTCCTGAGCCACCGACGCCGACAAGCATTACATTACCTCGTGGATGCCGAATCACTCTTGATATCTAATATATATATTTTTTATTTATTCTGATACAATAAATATCAAAGATTCTAAATTTACCTTTACAAGATGGAGCATGGCATCGGGAAAAAAGACAAGATCCATTCCGGCTCCTCTGACCATTTCATTGAACTGCGACAGGAACATTTCAAGCCTCTCCTCGAGTTCAGCAATGTCCCAAACCGGCTCATAAACTTTTGGCAACTCCATGTCTGTATCTTCACCCTCTTCTCCTGTTGGCTCCGGAGCATCTCTACAAATTCAAGATTAGTCGTTTTGTTAGTTTGAAAATATTTAGAATAAAGTCAAACCTCATAAAATCTACAAAAGGTGGGTTAGGCAGTGCCATTTGTTTATAATTACTTCCAAGCTCGTTCTCAATCGTTTGAAGCAGTTGATTGTCAAACCATTCTTTATCTGATAATAGCGTGAACCTATATTGACATATTAAATATTAAAGTTGTATACTAATATACAAAATTAATTAAACAGTTACCGGTCAGCAAATACTCTTGTGCATTCATTTTTCCATAGGTTCATTAAAACACTCTCCGATTCTATAACATTTGACAGCGTACCTACCATACCTTGCCAAATTCTTGAAAGATCCCTCAAACTAAATACATAATGGAATTTTGCAGGTGTCGGAAGTAAATTAGCCTGAAATAATGCATATAAGAACAACTCGTAAAATTTTAATATCTCAGCCATGAATTTACCCTAGTGATTTGCCAGAGCTTTCTAGTTAAAGGAACAATCTTTCTAATCAACGTCCTAACTTCAACTGAAAATCCTCGTTTAAGATTGTAATGTCCTTCACCAACAATTTTAAATATTTTATCGATAGACACATCAGATGGTATGGTGCAATTGAACATACAAAATTGTCTTTTAAGCCTGGCTGGTATGTCATTTCTTCCTCCACCTTAAATAATTGATTTTATAACAATGCTACATAGAATTAACGTACGATATTACCTGGGAGACACATAGCACCGACAAATTGCATATCAACTATAGTAGTGAATTCTCCTGGTTTTTCCAAACTATAAAATCCATTCATGTCCATTGTCTGTCTCACTATTTCATTTGTCACTTGATCACCCCATTCGTTTATTTGTGGAAGATTAATGTCATCGATGAATACGATCATTTTTTTCCCGCCAGTAGGACCAAATGTGCTACCTAACCTTTTCTCGACAAAGCTCTCTATTGTTTTCTATGGAAAAAAAATTATGTATTGCTTGAGAAACATTTTTTTTCTTTAAGATTACCTGAAATTGGTAAGGGCTAGTGGCTGAAGAAAAATTAAATGCTCTGTTTAAATATTGTTCAGGGTTTAATTTCTTCATGAAAGACTTCATCATAACGGTTTTGGCTGACCCTTGCTCTCCGATAAGTAATACAGCCTTGCCTTGCTTTGCAATACAGTTGATCAAATAATCAGTCCGTACGTTTTCAACGATCGGCACTAAAATTGAGTTGAAATCGGGTGTGCTCGTGTCTGGATAAGTATAAGATGGTACAAGCTTGCTCCAAGGCTCCCATTTGCCTGTAAACGGTGTTTAAAATTCAAATCTATATTTTAGTCATAATTATAAAAATATACCTTCTTTTCCGACTGTAAAATCAAATAAAGATACAGTTGAGTCAGCGGTTCTTGGAAGTGGGAGCATCTTGAGATTTTCTTTAGCAAAATTATTGAATTTTTCTCTATCGTTGCTGTCCAAAAATGCACCAATTGACCACACAAGGGCAAAAATATACACCTTTTGTAAGAATTCATCTGAAACACTAGAACAAATTTTCCGTAATCATTAGCCATTTAAAAAAATTAAGTGTTTATTTTATTTTATAAATAAAAATTATATTTAGTTACTTTTTAATGACTGGTGATGGGGCTGGAGGGCTGCTTTCTTTAGTTTCTTCCCCATTCAGTAGGATTTGCGGAGGACTGAGAGCCTTATGATCATCATGTTTGGCATCATGCTGTTCTTGATCATCTGCGTTTCCTTCTTCTGTAGGAAGAAGAGCTTGCAGCAAAGCTTTCATCTGCAACATTTTTCATAAGCCAGAGAAAATATTTAATCTCATTTTCATAAAAATACCTGCTGGATAATATTACACTGGAGTACTTTCATAACCATATGCAAATTTTGAGTCGACCAGCCGTAAGCCAAAGTGAACGTCTCGGCAAAAAGTTCTCTGAATACATTCTGCTGCTGTTCATTCCTAGTTTTGAGCCAAGCTTTTATAACTGGCTCCCAGTCGAGTCCTGATGAACTCATGTATACCTGACAATTTGATTTATTATGCAAGTTAAAAAAAAAAAGTAGTTAAGAATTTATTACCATTCCATTACGAGACACCGTTGCAGGAGAAGCGTTGTCAATATTATGAGGTTCAAATATGATCTTGCAAGTTGGAGCCATATTTAATCTATCGCCATTGGCTAGAGTTAGTGTCTTGTTATCGTCAAGAACTGAATTTAAGTTTTCAATCCAGATACTATCTACAGGACCATCGAGCACAAGCCATACATATTCATCTAAGAGTCAATGTAGTCTATGTTTTATTATAATTTTTTAAATAATTAATTTTATCATAAATTTAAGACCTTTTTTAACTCTTAATGTTTTTCTCCACAGCGCTGAGAATATACCGTCAGTCCAGTCATTAGTAGCAACATCTAACCTCCCAAACATTTGAGCAGCAGTGATCGCTTTTGGATTCATTCTCATTTCCCTTTAAATAAATATTTTAATAGGCTTTTTTTAAAATTAGGACATGTGCGAACAAACCTATGGCTGTCACCGCATTTTGTGAGTGCGGCCATTAAAGTGTGTATGCAGGTTGTTTTACCAGCTCCTTCCGGTCCAAGAGTCATAATGCCATGCCTTACCCTCTGTGTCTCATAGAGCTGGATTATCTTGAGCACCCAGGGCGGATGGTATATCAAATTTGTCTCCTCCAAGTGTTCAATTATCGCAGCATCAAGCTCAGGATATGAAGTATTATCGAGGTTTTGGTTAGGAAACAAGTCAGCCACAAGAGATATAAAAAGTGGTTCATCCTCATCTGCAAAATTATTGATCAAATTGATGTTTATATTTTTTTACTAGTTATGAGTACCTATCAATTTCGACAGGTTCATGTCTCTCAAAACTCTCATAACAATCGTACTTTCAGTATCTTTGGAATTCACCCTCTTTGCCGCACCAAGTGAGCGAAGTACTGATAGAATGTTTCTCAGCCCAAAATCATAATGAACCTTAATAATTTGTTTTAATAACACAGTAGGTTTAAATGAAAAAGTGGTTTTTTATAATATAATTTTAAAAATAAATATTAGATTTTTTTTTAAAAGTAACCTGTTTAGTCAACTGTTCTTCACACAATTTATACAATGTGTAAAATTTTCTAGCCAAAGTTATGTTTTCAAGAAATCCACAACTTGCAAGCTTCACGCGGATAATAATCTGCCTGTCTGGCACCATCATGGCGACCGTACGGAATTGTATTTTTAAATTTTCCGGCAACTCTTTTCTCCCGGCATATCCTGGGTTCTGTTATTAAATAAAAGGATTGGATGTTTGTTTTGAAATTGTACAACTGTAAAAACTTGCCATCGTGATAAAAATTCCAAATTCGGGAAACATGTCAATCAGGTCCCCATCTGTAAAGTGGAATTGTTTCTTTTTCTCTTTCTTAGCTGCAAGTACAACGGCGACCTGTTGAGCAGCTACAGACAGCACTGGAAGCTCGATCCTGTTAAACTCATCAAAGCAACCCCAAGAACCAGACTGAGCCAAACCTTGACGACAATAATCCAAAATTATTCCACATCCTACATATATTTGTTAAATGTAAAAAATGTTTGTAAATCCCAGGCCCTGAAGATGATCAATAAAGATTGAAACGTTGGCACGATAAAGAAAATGTTTTTCTGAAACCTACATCAAACCAGACCGTATCTCGTGATTTCTGAATAATTTTTAATCATAAGCTAAACCCTGTATATTATTAAAATTACCTTTATATATTCTTCCTAGACCTCTATAATCCATCTGATCAGAACAATTGAATACGACTACATATTTCCCTAATGTTTTCCCCATATCTTTTACGGTTTCAGTTTTTCCTGTACCTGCTGGGCCACATGGAGCACCACCCATGCTCATCGCAAGAGCCTGCGCTAAAGTAATATAACACCTGGAAAAAAAAATCAGATAAACTCCATCTTTAATAGAAATGATTTAATACCTATCAGTTAATGGTGTGATCACAAGACGATCAGTACATCCAAGATATTCATTTTGATAGGTAAATGTAACATCAGTAATAGATATCCACGTTTTGTCTAGATCTTCTTTGAAGTAGAATCGACTTTGTTTCAACCATTCAAAATCATTTATTGATTTTACAGCCAGTCGGACCTTTATGAAGTTAAAAAATTGAAAAATATACATAATATCAAATAAAATAATATATTACCAATGTGTCAAATATATCTCTTTGGTGAACGTGAATTGTAATAAGAGTTTCAAATTTGATCCTTTCCAAACGAGTCAAATCACGAGTTGTTTGGTCAATTAAAGTATTGAGCAGTTCCAAAAATCGGTTATTAGTTTCAGGCATTAATTTTTTGTCGCTACGAGCTTGCACAAGAGCCGCTTCAGCATCTCTTGTCCAGACCATTTGGATTCCAAGTATCCCAACCTGTAAATTGTACAAAATTTGAATAGTGTAGCTAGGTTAATATAAAATACACACCTGAGCTGGGATCCGGTCAAGAAAAGACAGAATATTAAAATTGGGATCGTTGATCAATGTATATGAATTTCTTATTATGCCATGTAGAGACTGCTGTGATGATTGAAGCAGGGACATCAACCAGGTTTCGACGCTACCCTCTGCCCTAACTGGTCTTTCAAGCTGCAAACATATATAAAAGTTGAAAAAGTGGCGAAGAGTTATGGGGTAAAGAAAAGGTGCATGTGAAAAAAAGAAAGCTAGAAAGGAAGGTTGAAATACACGCAAATGAAGCAACGGAGGCAGACGAGTGCGCTCGGTATGAAAGACAGTTTCAGGCTCTCACAATCAATAATCAAAAATAATCTGTGATATGCCTGAGTATGAGGGTAAAGGTGTTGAAGTCTAGTTCTAGATGTAAACAGTGCACAAATATTCAGGGATGGTATATTTTGAGGGGTGGAGTGTTTTGTGTGCAAAGCATAGGTCATATCAACCCTTGGGGTGTTGGTGTTTTTGTAAAAAAGCCCATTTGTATTATCTTTATCTTATAGCGATGAGCACCATGTCAACGCCTAAACCATTGCGGCCACCAACCACCCTTTAAACAGTGCAGAATTTTAAAAATCAATTTTAAACTGAGTAAGGTGATGGCTCAATCTCATAACCTAGAATAAATTAAGCATGTTCCAAATAATGTAAGCGTGGAGTGAGGTTAAGTGCAAAACGAGTTCTATTGTTAAAGCAACAATAGAAGAAATAAAATAAACAATGGTGAAGTAAGTTAGGACAAGACTTTTCACAAGATTTGATCAAATTGGGTTAACTGCCAAGTGTTTTAGGCAAAGTATAGACTTTCTGCTGATTAATTTATTTTTTGCTGCCATAATAGGTCGCAGGGTCATTTTAGACCACAATTTTTCACAGAACCGTTAAAAGAAATTACGGTATTAATTGGGATGATATTAGGAAAATCCAAATATTCCAATCTGTTCCTGAGAGCAATTAAGGCCTGACGTTTTTGAGGATTTACATTAAAATGATTAGAGCGAGAATTTCAATACAATTAACTGTACCAATTAAAAGCTGGCAACTAGCCTGATTTTCACCACGTGTAAACTGAAAATCATCTGCATAAAGATGATATTTGGAAACAGAGAGAGAGAGAGGAGGATATCACTTATGTAAAGGGCAAATAGCAGTGGTCCAATGCTTGAACCTTGAGGAACACCACTGAGCAAAGGTCTAGAGGAAGAATTGCCAGATTGGGATTGGAATCTATTAGGAAGGACTTATTCATAGAGCATGCAGAAGGACTAAACTTAAAATTGGTACAGTCTGTTGATGAGAATTTAATGTGCAATAGAGCTGAAGGCGCTAAATGTACAAGAATTAGGATCGATCCACAAATATTTCATTTTGCTCACCATAATCATTTCTCCCTCAGAGGAAATTATAGCTGTCATCTTGTTGTATTCAATGTCGTGGAACTTGACGTTGCGGGTGTTATCGAAAATTGACAGCAGATGATTCTGTATCGTGTGAGAGTCTGAAGCTTGGCCCAGGATTTCAAGAAGCGCTGGGTCAGACACGAAGAAAAATCTTGGAAACATCATTCTCTTCTTTTCCAAATAACTAAAATATTTAAAAAATGTGAACATAAGAATTTAATAAAATAGATTTAAAAGAAAAAATAAATTGTTTCTACTAATATCTAACAATGAAATAGAAAGAAATTCGACCTCCCATACTTAATCATAAAGAGGCCACTTTAGGACCTTAAGCACCATGACCAATATTGGTATATTGTGCAATCTCCATGATTATCTAGAGCTTATTAGTCTTAAGACTTTTATCAGATCCCAAAGCTTTGTTAAGCATTCCTGCGTTGCCTTTTCTTTTTCCAGGAGTAGGCATCTCAGCCTATTAAGCTGAGTTTCCACTCCATGAAAAAAATACTCACGCAACTAAATGCAAGAATTACTCAATGCCGTCTCGGGTTAACCATTTCCACGAGGCGAAACAAGATGAGCCATCAGTTGCGTGAGACAAGCATGCTGTTTATAACTACAAAAACTGATGCATCAGCATTTGCTATAATGGCGATACTTTATATTAAAAAGGAAAATAAACGAAGAAAACGTGGTTGGTGGATCGAAGAATTATTTTGTCGACAAGCCCCATTAGAGTTTTTATTTTCGAGTACCTACAATTTTTCCCATTTTGATGCTAATTTCCTTCCACGCATCCTCTCTCATGTTCTTGTTCTGATGAGTTCTTTAGCATCCTAAAAAAATCAGTAGCTATGGGACATTCGGATAAGTCTAATGCACACCTCCTGGTTCATTCTCATACTCAAGACAAGTGCGTTTACATGGAGTGAAACAAACAATGCAAAACACTTTTATGCACACTAAAAAACCAACAACCGGTTGGCTAACCTCAAAACATCCTCACACCAAAAGTTTCACAGTCCTGGTTGTCTTCTCAACAATTGTGGAAGTGAGTTTTGCACAGCGGAAACCCAGCTTTTGACCTTTGAACCATTACAGGATATGTTCCATTGTTTCTTCTTCATAAGATGACGAAATGAGAGGAAAATTCAACTTTGACCGTTTGAAGTGGTTATAGACAAAAATGCTGTTTGGAAGAAAGACAACGTAAAGTTGATTATGGTGGAATATAGTGTAGGTGTAGGGGGTAAATGGACCAAATTAAACCCTAGCAAAACCCTCTGTACTGGTTCCAACAAACTTCCAAACTAAGGTTTACACAATCTAGCTCTGTGCTGGAGTCATTAAAGATGATATGAAAGATTTACATATATTTCTATACTTTTGGATAGTCAGGTACTAGGTCAGGTAGAAGGTACTAAATGAGTATGCTTTTAGCTCAAATTAGTCTGGGTATGTCTAAATTGCCTGATTACCCTAGGAGAACACAAGGTGTAGATTCCAGGACATGAAGGTACAGAAGGAAATGAATAATGTGAGAACGGGCACACTAGGCAAATTGGAAAGTATGAGTTGGTGCTGAAAAAAAACAACATCTGTCAGAAAGAAAAAAAGAAGGCTACTGCCCTCTTGACAACCACCTAAAGAAGGTGAGCAAAGCAAAGACAGAAAGAAGCCAATTTTATCAGGAGAAAGATGGGCAAAGAGGCAAGCCATTTTGGCAAGGCAATTTTCACATCATAGGGGTCCCACAATAGCCCTTTAGATATAAATGTATATATTTGCATTATTTTACCCGCTCAAAGATTTTTGACATAGTTCCAACTGTTCCTGAAGATGTGGCAGGATTTGCTTAAGCATGTCGTCTCCGACACAGCAAGATACAACACCGGGAGTTTCGTGTGCCCTTTGCATAATTTTCTGCCATGATTTATCAATTTTGCTGAACCGCTTGGCTTCTTTTGGCAATTGTTTTGCAATATCACCGCCAACGAATACGGCTTCCAAATACACCCATAGATTTTGCACAAGAAGCCATCTTTCGAGTATTTCGTTAGTGTTGCTCAAATCTGATACCCATTGTTGAATCTGCTTCCTGAACGGTGCATTGTACCTGTAATGAATTTATAAAGGTGAGTTTTAAAATTTAATTTAAATTTAAATTTTTATACCTATTTGATAGTAAAGAACCGAGAACCATGAGGCTGTCTTCTAATTGTCCAATAGTTTCAGCTGTAGTGTCACCCCTCAGAAGTAGTTCACCTCTGTTGTTAAAAGACATAAATGTTAGCTCATGTACCGACCATTCATTAGTCACTTGGCGTAATTTTGCTTCAATATCTTTCTCTTTCATAGCTGATATGCAGATATCCTTAAAAATGAAATTAAAATTGTTTTAATACAATTTTAAATTAATTAATTTATAAAATGGTTACTTCAATGTCTTCCTTGTATTTTAATAATGGTGCTGCTAAAATGTTTTTCAAACAGAAACCTTCACTTTCTAAATCAAACGTGTGTTTTGTCACTTCCATTATTCTCTGCCAATGCCTCGGTTTCATTGCTTTGTTGGCCATTAGCTCGAGCAATGGGCACATATCATTGAAATCATCAATTGTGCGTTTTAAAGCGTGGAACGCAGGCCATTCCTAGTCAAAGTTTAAATTATGAATAGCCAATTATAATGTTTAATTTATTCATTACTTTTAATCCTTTCGGTAATTTACGGCATCTATTTTGGAACTCCATTAGTTCGTTGTTTATGTCTTCTATGTTAACCTCACCCCATGGTATATCATAGTAGCTACTGACTCGGTCGATAACATCGTTATACAGCTTGTACAACTTTTGAAGCAAGTTGAGTTCTTTTCTGATCTGGCCTAACTCAGGACTTTCAGTATTAGGCAGGCCGAACAGTTCTTCACCACTCTGATAAGTTTGCAGTTTCCTCCACATTCCATCGAATCGGTTCTAAAAACAAAACTACATGGATTAATATGACAATAGTTTTCAATATGATTTACATGCCTGAAACAGAATCAATCGGTCGCTAGCTTCCCTAGGAGAAAGCCCAGGGCTCATGGGCCCTGCTGTTCTATACTGGTGTATATAATCCTCGCTGTCTTCACTAAATTTGGCTAGGTTTCCTTGTAGTTCTTCCTGGAAGTGTGGTTGCATCGCAAGAAGCAACGAATTCACCTCCATAGACCTGCTTAATAACTGCTGCCATGTATATCGCAGGTTGTCTACCTAGAATAAAAAATAAAATCAAATTGTGTAAAGGCAAAATAATTATGAAAATTTACCTGCTCGAGAATTTCTCTGTCAACTGGAAGCTCATATCTTGTCAGAATGTTGAATGCTTCCTTTATTATAAAAAAAAAGTTAGCTAACTTCGATTAATAGTTTAATTTAACCTAACTAACCTCAATTGGTTCAATTCGAAGTTCCATGTCAACCTCCTGATCTCTAATTTTTTTCAGCGTTTCCATTACCATTCTTACATCATCCAAATCTCTTATCGGCCTTTCAAGCTTTCTCTCCATTTCACTCATTACCGCATACACGTAGTCCATTTCTCTTTGGTATTTTTTACGAACAATTTGCCCAATTTTATGTGTACCGGTTTTAATCTCCATTGTAAGGGCCATCTTTAGCTGATCTGTAAAAATAATTAACATATAATTTTTTTTAATGTGTTAAGATTAGTCTTACCGATATTGACTGCAATTGTGGTACATAAAATATAAACATTGTTTTCTGCCAAAAGTTCACTCTCAAGCTCAACATGTTTGCATAATGACATTTCACATTCTAACAAACTGACACTGTGAGCATCCCTTTTTGTTGCTATGCTGTCAGAACTCCAGAGCATTTTATACGGCTTCCAACGTTCAACATATCTTTGCAATTCCTTTAAAAAAAAGTACAGATAAAAGAAACAGTAAATAATTTTGTACAATACAAAAGCGTAAAGCTTACTAATTTTATAGGAACGATGCAGTTAGAGAGTAAAGATAGAGTTTTGATGACTTCTTTGTTCTCCATTATGTGAGAATGAAAATTCTTAGGCTGATGTGGAAAGGGCGGCTTTGTATTTGAAGCGAGCCTGTATAAACGTTTCCTCCTTGCTTTTGCGTCTTCTTGCTTGGGCTCGTTCTGATCTAGCCGAGAGACAAGGTTAGCTAAAGCCTTTGACATTCCCTTGTCGCCGTGCACACCCAGCCGTCTCCAGCCTTCGCCTTTCTACTTTTGGTAGGGGGTATGAACGGCAAACAACAGACAAAGACACACACAACAGGCAGAAAGGTGGAAAATGTAAGGAAGTGTTTATTGATTAGAACGTGAGTAAATATTAAAGGATGGTTTGGGGTAGACACGAATGAACATCACAAAACATTAGACAAACACAAGATGAAAAGAAAAGAAAACAAGTGAATCAGTAAAGTTAACAGTTTACTTATTTGTACAGGATTTTAATAATGTAAAGGAAATCCTAAATCTTATATAGCTCAACAAAAAAAATAAAATAAAATAAGAAAATACTAAAAAATAAAAACTCTAATATACAAACTAAATAAATTGTGCTTTGAAATATCAAAAACAATTACTTGCAGCTGAAAACTTTTGTCATTTCTTGATAAAATGGCCTTAATTGCTTAATAAATATTACAAAAATAATATTTAAATATATTTTATCTCGTTATAGCAGTTCATTTAAAAATTGAATGAAAGATGTGTAAAACGTACAATCTGCGGCTTTCCTCCAGTCCATTGTGATACACCTCTTGTGACGTTGGTTATCATCTTTCCGACCATCAGCAAACAATCTTGAACATCGTCCAGACTCGGTTTTACGATTACATTCGGTATCGAAAGCAAACCGTTTATTAAGAGAACGGGTGTATTTCCTGCCAGAAAAATTTCGATTTATTTTTAGACATTAAAAATTAATCGTTGAATTTAGTTAACCTTCATGAGAAGAAAATCTCCTTCTAACTGTGTCTAAAGCTTGACGGGTGATTTTAATTAAGACATCAACGACTTTTCGACTGTAGTATCGTCTCATTTCACCAACAGCATTTCTTACCATATCCTTATCAAAAAGTAAAAACCAATTAAAATATTAAATTAAACGTACTTTCCCTCAAAAGATCTTAATCTCCCACCCTTACACATTCAAGCACAGAAGGTGGCTTTTGAGAGGGTTAACAGATTCCTGAGATACATAGAAATAAAGCCAGATCTAAGGAGAAGCCATCACAAAATCCTGGAGAGAATTAACAAAAGTGAGACGGCTAAAGTGTTATGGTAAAAAACAGCCTCTTTAGGACCTTATTCACCACGACCAATATTGGTCTATTGTGCAATCTCCATTAATATATAGAATAATTATATAGAACTCTTCATTAAGCTTTAGGCTTTTTATCAGATCCTAAAGCTTTATTAAGGACTCTCATATTTACCTTTCAGGACTGGGCTTTAGGAATCTAGCTACTTTGAACTAATAGTTAAGGCACATGGACACAGCATACTTTCGGAGAGTCTACAAAGGGTACAAAGTTATAAAGACACTAACAGCAAATGCTTTTAGCTCCAAACTAGTCTGGGAGAACCTAAATTGCCTAATGCGCTAGGAGAATGCAACAAGGTTAATTTGCTGGGTACCAGGACATGAAGGTATGGAAAGAAACGAATAGGTTGACCAAATAGTCTCAGAAGAAGTCTAGAAGACACTCTGGAGAGAATGGTCAAGTTGTAGCTAGAAAAATGCCTTAAGAAAAATTGTGCAAGCACAGGACAAAATCACTAGATATGAGGTAAGCCAAGATATTTATAAATCTTTTGAAGTGGAAGGCGGTTTTTTTCTTTCTGTGCAGGCAAAATTTTAGGAAAAGTGTAGGTCTACACTGGCTTCAAGATGGGCAAAGCAGAAATGAAAACATGCCAACCCTGTAAAGAGAAAACAGAGACATCGGCACATAACCTATAAGAATGTGATGGTGCTTTCCCACAAAACTAAAGACTTTTCTTGGTGCCACTTTGTGTACCTCTCTTGGTGTAGCAATCACCTTATAGAAGTCACTGTACTGTATCCAGGATAATGCCTCACATTCAAAAGTGATTTGTGCTGATATCTATGCTTTTTGTTGACAGAGTTAGCATGGTTTGGTCTCTGCTTTGTCCATCTTCTTCAGATGGTAGTCAGTGGCCAATATAGAGGTCTATAATTTTGTGATGGGGCATCAAGTGCTTAGTTTTGTGGGAAAAAGCGCACTTTCCATTGTACAATCTTCATCATAGATGGTCCCACAATAGACCTATATAGGTTAAGAAAAGGTTGGAATCCTTGTCTGCACATTATTCATAATTCTTAACTACTACTATTAATTTCAATGTCTTTGGAAAACTTTTATTACTTAGAAGGTAGGGTAAATATTCAAGTAGATACATAATTATACCTGCATTGGTTTTGAAAGCCCTCCTGCACTTTGGAGAAGCTGGTATGGGTTTTCAAAGCATTCACACACTTGGCTCCAATCTTGCTGCTGTTGATTGGCTTCATTCATTATATCATGTTTATTATCGTCTGGAACTTTAAATCAATTTAAACTTAATTTGCCACAACTGATTGCTTACAAGAGATTACCATCGAGGATGAAATCAGACTCTTCTGGTACTGAGTGGTTGGCTTTGAACTCTAAAGCGGCTTTTCTCACAAGCTCCAATATTTCTTCCACTGCTTCTTCAACCATTAAACTCTTCCTGTTCAACTCCTATAGTTAAAAAAAATATATAGCTAAATTATATATTTTTTTTAAATCACATAAAAAAATTTACAATAGCAGCATGGCGACAGTTTTCATCAGTTTTATCTATGAATTCGTCAATTGTCCATGGATTATTTGTTGGCAAAATGTGTAAAGATACATTCTGGATGCTCGATAGGACATGGAGGATTCGGTTTGAATAAACATCGTGCACCCTGTGTTTATTTTTATTTTGAATAAATCAAAGAAAGGAGAGCAATTAAATATAAAAGTAATACCTTGTTATTAGTATATCAAAATTGTTTATAGCTTCTGATATGTTTTCCACAAAATTTTTCCATTGTGGGTCTGTCCAACTGAGGGTGTTTAGTGCTGGTTTTAAAAGGCTAGAAAGCCTGACAAGTTGCGGTAAAAACAAAGGACGAACCTCGAGTTTAACCCTTTTTACTGTATTTGTAAAATTTACAAGCATGTCCTAAAACATTTACATATAAATAATTATATTTAAAGTAGTGTAAATTAATTTTCATCTTTACATCAAGGGAGTCTTTGATTTTAATGAAATAGTTTTTCTTTGACAGCAGTGCCACAGAAAGAACTGGGACTGGCAGATCCAATTTTGCCATACATTCAGCTTCCCTGATCATCCAGCTCAATCTACAATCAAAATTTATATCGATGTGGTTTTCTTTTTCGTTTAATACGAGTAATTTCTTTCTCAAGCAAGTCTCCGCTACCCAAACCTGTAAAAATAAAATGATTAAAGTTTGTTCTTGACACAGAAATAGATTATTTACATTATGATTCATCCAAACATCTAGAACATTATCTTCAAACTCTTCCAAAATGTGTTTTATGTAGGCGAATTTCCTTTGGAGGTCTTTTGTCTCAGGTAGAGGACTTAGAAGGGGATGTTCTGAGACTGAGTCAATGAGCCTTTTGAGATTCATTCCCAGTGATCTTGCCCATGTAATTTTACCTGAACAATTAAATTGATTACGACCTGGTGGAAAATATAACTGTTAAATGAACCTGCAAGCGGAGGGAAGTCTGTGGGTATTGGCGGCTTGTTATGCTGCTTCCTGAACACTTTTAAAACTTTGTCAAGCTGTTTATCACAAAATTTTAAAATCCTTGAATACTTCTCAGACATTTGTTTCAAAGGTATTTTACCACTTATCTTAAAGCCAATAATGAAAATATTAAACATATAATTTTAATTACAATAATGTTAATTACCTTTTCAAATCTATTTAAGAATTTTACGCCTTGCAAAGTTTCCCATATCCCTGAATAATTATCTTCAATTGTATTAGCAATTTTCTCTTTAAGGGAATTTGTGCTCGCGATAAATTCTTCGAAATCATCATCAAACTCAACATTGCGCTGTTCAAGATAATCATAAGTTTTCGATGTTATGCTATTTTTGATATCATTAAAATTTTTGACAACTTCTTCAAGTTCTACAATCAACCACTTAATTGAACAGGATTGAAAAGTAATAAAAGAAAAGTAAATAATAATAATTTTTTAAACTAACCTTCACCGAGTAATAATCCTGGAAAAGAAATAATAATAATATATAACTTTTTATGATCCATTATAATAATAATAATAATAAGCATTATACCTTCCATTCTACATTCAAACAAACAATTATAATCGTCGACAAGGTTGAACATTGAAATAATTTTTGCCAACCTCCTACAGAATGTGTCGAATTTTCCAAATACGTAGTTTTCAGAAAATTGCAACTGAGGCTGATCTGGGACGTAATTGTGTTCTTTAACGTAAGTGTATGAATCGTGATATGCTTTGTTGAGTTTTACACAGTGAACAAGTTTTTCTCTGACGATTGTTCTGTCTTGCGACCAAATATTTTCTTTGCCGTGGCAAGTGATGTACTGCTTGCAGTTTCTGATCATTTGGTTTGTTATCTGTACATGTAAATAAGTAAATTAGTTAATTATTTAAATTTCTGAAAGGAAATTTAGTTATACATACTTTAACCATCAGAGAGGATGTTCTTTCAGACGTGTTGTAATACTGCGAAACACTGTGAATGAGTTTCACCGTCTGAAGAAGGCGAAGAATGGAACTCTTCATCCTAACCTAAAAACAATTTATGCTGTTTTATTTGCCCATATAAAATTATAAAAATATTACTGGATCGTGTAGGTAAAGAGCATGACATGATTTTTCAATAGCTTGAATATATTTTGCATTGTCTCTGGCCTCGTTGTAACAGTAAGTGATTCTCATGTCAGCTTCTTTCCAGAGTTTCAGTATTCTCGATTTAACCATCATTAAACACTGGATAGTCATCGTGACCTGAAACCGATATATTTTATATAGTTTCTTTTGTTTCAGTCATTGCCAAATAACTGACTTCATGAGCTTGAATCTGTGCCACAATTTGTGAAAACTGGGCGTCCCTTTTCTTCCAATATTCCAGCTCGTCTTGCGGGCCAGAAGTGTCGTTCTCCTTTCTGAGTTGTTCACTTTCCATAATAACCTTTAAGCGAAAATTATTGTAATTAGATGATAAAATCAATAATGAAATGAAAACGTACTTCATGGATACGTTTTAGCCAAAGCTTGACCCGCTCTTCAAGCAAGGGTATTGTTGTTAGCTGGTAAAGAAGTTCTTTTGCTTCATCAAATGAACGTATATTGTCCATCAAAGTACACTCATCTTCAAATATATTCGGCTCCTTACACACTTCTTCACAGACTAAAACCAAATAAATATTGGCAAGTTAAAAATATTCAAAAATATATTTTTTTAAATTAATCCATATATGTATTTAGTAGTATTGACCATTTTAATTATATTAATTAATTATACTTTTAATCTAAGGTTTTGGTTGAGAAAAAAACCATGCGCCACTAGTGGGATTTGAACCCATGACTGTGGACTGGTGCATAACGAAATTGTTGATAGGTTGGAAAGGAAGCTACGACCAGAAGTCCAGAACGTCAGAATACCCAAATCGGATATAAAGAGAGTACTAACTAAAAAATTGTCACAGGAATGGAAAAAGTGGTATAATAGGGATAAGGCAGGTTCTTTTTTTAAGGCTATCATTCATGGATTTTCGCAATGAGGGGAAGCAAGGCGTTTTTTTCTTCGATTATCAGAATCAGGGCGAATCACTGCATATGTGGTGCTTATCTGAACAGAATTCGTTTATGACCCTCCCCAAATTGTGAAACATGCGATGAACCCGAGACAATGCAGCATATTGTGTTTGATTGTCCGGAGTATGAAGAAGCGAGAAATGTCATGTTTGAACAAATTTTTAGTTACAAAGAGGTAGAGAAGCCATTCAATTTTAATAGCCCTATAAGTTCTGAAAATGAAATGGTATTTAAGACGTTTGAATTTTTGAATAAAAATGATCTGAAGGCTTAATCGCCAGATAATTAATCAATTGATTAATGCAATATCTGTCCAATTATTAATCTATTAAAGATTTACATTGTTACTTATGTAGTAGAATTTATATATTTACATTAGTAATTTATTAATTATATATTTACCGATTGATTATTTATTATCGATGTAAATACTGATTTATTTATTGACTGGTTATATAGAAATTTGTTCGCTGATACCGATACATTTGTATAGATTATTTATAAGTATTTATTTATCAGTTGGTTGATTGACAGGTGAGGAACCTGGGTCATTCTGGGGGTGCTGGCTCGGCTGTCTCGGGTTGTCTCCGGGGGGTACTCCACATGCAAAGGGCAATTGGTCCCCGGGAAGTGGGGAGGATGTGGACTTTTCCAGGGGCTTCTGTTGCCATGTACGGTTTTTATCCATATCCTTCTAATGCTACCGAAATTAGATGTAAACCTGAATAAGAAGCGGGTGTATGGGGTAGTGCCCTTTGGGGGTGGCCCGGGTCGGTTGGCGTTGTCACCAATTAATTGACATTGACTGAATGCAAAATCAAAAAAAAAAAAAAAAAAAAAAAAAAAAAAAAACAACCCATGACCTTCGGCTCAATACGCCGCTGCTCTACACTTGAGAAGTCAGAAGTCATATTGAGTCGAAGGTCACGGGTTCGAATCCCACTGGTGGCACTTGCTTTTTTGTCTCAACCAAGACCTTAAATTAAAAATATAGTTCATTAATGTAATTCTATTTGTAGACCTTTGAGAGCACTGCAGAAAGACCTAAGACCAGGGAGAAGCTGATCTCTCACAATAGCGCTTCCGACTTCTTCCTCTTCAGATTCTGAAGATGGCTGGGCCAAAGCTTCCATGAAAACATGTTCCATCACCCTTTGTACAGTCGTCACAAGGCCAACATTGACGGAATTGATAACTCCACAAAAGAGATCCTACGGTATTACCTTTTAGATTGCAATAAAATCAAGAGATACAATTATTACCTTTTGAAAGCCCTCTTCTGGTAACTGTTTTGAAGTATTTAACCTGAACATATAAATGCATATACCAGTTAGTGGTATTTCCCAACCGTCCGTTAAAAACAGTTTCTTCTTCATCAATGCTTGATGATGATATTTTGCTCCTTGAAGAGCTCTTAGACCGATACTTTTCCCCTAAAATTAAAGTATTTGTATCCAAAGTGAATATTATTTTATTTCTCAGTACCAAATCTTGACTAGGAGCTGCTGGAGTTTCCTCGACATCCTGGTGAAACCAAATCAATTTGTTTCTCATATGGGGAAGGAACAACTCATTGATTTCATCCAGCTAGTGAATTATAATGTTAAAAAGTATACTTATTTTAATTATTAATTATCACAATTTTACCATATTCCCTTCAAATACGTTATCCATAATCTCTGATCGGGGAAGCCCAGTGGCATCGATGAGCAGCTGGAATGTGAATTCCAGCCTGGGGTCCATCTCCCCCCTTCTTGCTTTGCGCTCGCATTCTTCTCTTCTTTTCTGGAATGTCAATCATATAATGGCATGTACTTTTAATACAACTTTAACCAGTCTACTTTACTACTTTAGCACTTTATCATCTTGTCGTCAATTGAACCAATTTATAAATAATAAAACATTTTACATTTTAGCTAGATTGTCTAGAATTTTTGTCTTTGGCTGTTAGACACATTTTAGCACCATATTCAGTGATTAGCCTGTTATTTTGTCCACATTTTATTTTTTCATTTTTCTATCAGTGTCTTTAATAGGAGTTTTGTTTTTTCATTATACATTTGTGTGTTCATAAGTTTTGTCCAATTGATTGTGTTGTGCCTGTTCTAAATTTTATTTATTGAACATGATATTGGAACAAATTATTAAATTAGAAAACCATAAAAAGAATTATGCACATCCTGCATAAAATTATTGTATAACCGGACAGATTGCACAAGCGATATGAATTATCCAATTGTTTTTTAAAACATATTCATCCTATGGACCTGTCTGTAATGACTAAAATCCTTTAAAAGCTCACATTATAATGCCATGACCCCAAATTAAATTCCAAGAAGAAAAACCTCCCATATTAAAAACTAAGTTTGAAATTAGAACCCTGCACTTTACAATGCAGCAATGTCATTCCATCATGGATGCCATTCTATCTTAATGAACAGAAGTTGCGGCTGTCCTGGTGACAGAAATAATGAAGGTAGGGTGAGTATGTAGATTCACTTTTTGTAAAAAATGGTTCTACCCACAGATTTGTTGTTTACAACTATCCGGATTTCAAGCATTCAATGCTCACCATCAGGTTGAAGGAGTTATAGACATCTCTTGACATGAATTGTATGACCTCTGACGCGACCTTCCAACGAGAAGCTGGTTTTTAATGCCGTTCAATTTTGAAGGAGCTAAAGAAGGCCAGAAGAGTGTAAGTCACTCTGCAATAGGAAGAGTTCTCTGGCCTTCAGAGAACTGAGCTTCACACTAGAAGGCCAGGACAGGGTCGACCTAGGTCTTCGGACGAGAGAGGTGATAGATTCATCCATCATCAGGCTCTACGAAACGACATCATTAACGAAAATAACAGGGCTCAGCACTCGGCTCGTGGATCAGTTCTTTCCACAGCTCAGAAAATGGCCAGGTTTCAATTAGCACGGTAACATGTGAATTGGACATTGAAAGATTGGGACGAGTTCTATTTCAAATGATGTGAGAGTTGGCCTCAATCTTCAGATGGGCGTAATTTCATCTGGAGATGCTAAGGAGAATGGTATGCCCCATGCTTAATGGTTCCTCATGTGGCATTCCACGGTGGATCATTGATGTTCTAGCGTAGCATTTCCTTAGACACCCGCACCAAATAAGTTGTGCGAGGAAGATATGTAACTTCAACGATGTACTTACGAGAAATAATCTAAGAAAATGTAGTGCCATTTGCCCCCTCCCACATCATAAGAGATTCTTGCTAATGCAGGGTAATGTCAAGCCACATAGAGCACGCATTGTGGATCACAACCTGAATGAGGTTGAAAATGTCTGGCCAGCTCGAAGCCCAAATTCGAACCCAATCGAATGTTTTTGGTATGCAACATATGAATAAACCTAAACACATTAAAATTGAATGGTGGTACATTTATTTTGTCCATCATTTGGCTCCATGTTTCTAACCAATCTAGTTTCCTCTTGAAAGTTGAAACAGTTTAACATTGTCGTATTGAAATTGAAATTGAAATTTTGTTTGTTTCATTTAGATGGCCCTTAAATTCAGCAAATTTGTTCAGTTTAGGCAAGTGTTAGGCTATGTAAATAAACAATGGAAACTGAGGGAGGAGATACAGGCAGATGCCATTCTAGGCATGCCAATTGATGCCACTACTCCAAAGTACAACTTCACTAAAAAGTGCAAAGTACTGATACCAGAAAGGGAAGAATGGGCCAAAGGAACACCACTAAAGGCAAACTCCTACTTGCTAACTGACAGCCCCAAAACCGACAAGGGTACGGGAGCTGAGGGCTTTGGGATGAACCGCTTTGAACTGACAGTAAACCTAGGTAAATATGCTACAGTTTTCCAGTCTGAAATCATAGCAATTGAACAATGCGCCAGAGAAATAAAAGGGCTAGGAATACATTCCCAGAAGATAGCCTTCTTTTCTGACAGTCAGGCAGAATGAGTCTCATGCGATGTGAAGACAAATAGTGTTTGGAAATGCACGGATGCCCTGACAGAAGTCAGTGACACTAACGACCTGACCTTGGCATGGGTCCCTGGACATTTGGGGCATAAAGGCAACGAAAGGTTGACATGGCCAAAAAGGGGGCCAACATGGACACTCTGGGCCCAGAACCCTACTGCGGCTTAGCTGCTGCCAGAAAAGAGGATACATCTTAAAATGGATCCTTAATGAGTCCAAAACCTTGTGGAACAATACCACATGTATGAGGCACGGGAAGAGATTCATAGAAGGACCATCCACAAAACTTGGTTCTAGTTGGACTCCTGACAGGGCACTGCCACTTAAGAAAGCACATGCACCAGATAGGAGTACAGACAGAAGAAACACTCTGCTCTGCTAGGAAGAGGAGGAGATCGCTGAACACATTTTATGTTTCTGTGAAGGTCTATGTAGGTACAGGTTCTTGCAACTAGGACAAGAAAAACCACAAGCAAGATCCCACACCAAGAAGCCGCTGGGAAAGCTGTGGAGGTCAATAACCTAAAGCTGGCCAATGAGTTATAAATAACAGGGGAGCACAATAGATCAGGTCGAGGTGTAGTAGGCCTTGTGGCTGCCTCTTTTATCCCTATCCCTATCCCTAGGCAAGTGTTCTTTAACTCTTTTTAGCTTATTAACCACGAGAAGAAAAATGTTAAAATACACATAACGAGGAAAACTTATTTGCACAGGTAGCAAGTATGAGAAAGAAATTATTTTCACATGTGTAAATTATGGTTCTACTCACAGATTTTGGTTACAAAAAATGAATCTACATACTCACCTTACCTTCATTTTTTCTAGAATTTATTTTTTTCATTAGTTCTTCTTTTACAAATATTCGTAGGTTAAATGTAACGACAGTGTGAATGACTGGCCAGTTAATGTGTGCCAATTTGGCACTTCAATGTATTTAGTTTTATATTTATTTGTTGAATCATATTGAGGCCCTGCAAATGGTTTTAAACGTTTCTCGTACAATGACGTGATCTTTATGCGTGGGAAAAGATTGCTCGATCGTAAAAATGGAAAGGAGATGAATGTCAGTACAAATCGTGTAAAAGAGCGGTCCAAGAATGCTCCCTTGCGTCGGTGGCCGCAACGGTTTAAGGCGCTCATCACTGTAAGGTAAAGGTCCCGGGTTCGAATCCAGCGGCCCTGCATTCGAATTCGACATAGTTACAGTTTTTTTTTTTTTTTTTTTTTTTTTTTTCAAAAACACCGGCACTTCGAGGGTGGATATAACCTCTGCTGTTGCGAACCCTCGTTAAAAAAAAGTGCGTAACGATCAGCTAAACGGTCTTAGGGTAAGCAGATACTGGGTAAATTACGATTAGGTAACTTATGAGTTTTTTCGTCTTGAAAGTGTTCTTCTATTCCTTGGCTTGCAAGTAAGTCAATTTTCTATCCTTTTTATATCTTAGTGATGCCAGTTTAAACGCTGAGTGTTCGTGATGGTGATGGTGAGAAATCGAAACGCAGTGATGGACCGAAATAGCGACGAAATGCAGACCAAAATCATAAACGACGAAACTACAGGCTTATCATTTTGGAGATTATTATTAATTTAATTCAAAATTAAAAGCCCACAACTGATCTTCCGATTGAAAAGTAACGGAAAAGCTGGCCATTTAACCAAAGAGGAACCCTAAGAAGAGGGATCGTATAGTGACTTCAGACAGCTCAAATAAAAAAGAATGAGGTAAAGGAGATTTGTAGCACTTCGCTGGAAAAATGAAAATTTTATGGAAGTCTATAATAAATAACGTGAGGTAAAAAATATACACTATTGTTCAGACTTAGGTTCAACCACCATCTCCTAGGATGGCACTTAAGCCGAATTGGCATCAAAGAGTCAGCCTTCTGCCGACAATATCAAAGATTTGACGACTTTCTAGTGTAAAATGTCCGTTTTTAGGATATTTGGAAAACGGAGGAAAAGGACTCAACAAAACCGTATATTTATAAAAAAAATCTACGTTTGGAGCCCAACTAATCTCCGGGTGCTTTGCACCTACTGGCACCCTCGTAGCTACGCCACTGAATCTATTCAAGAAATTTCATGTAATCTCTGCCAAAGAACTACTTTCCCTTCACAATACATTCTCAAACATTTGCTGGAGTGAGATAGCCAATATTTGCAACTCAGCAAACACAGTAAGTCAGTGATGTTTGGACGTTTCCTTTCTTACTGGTCAGCCTATCCTAGCTGTTTTGGTCTGTCAGACGACTAAAAAAATTGTAAATTCGTGTTTATGTTAACGCCCAACTATGTACAGTACAGCAGTTGTGGGTGAGATGACATCACGTTAATTCATGGTTCTATATTGTTTTGGAAGTCATGTTTTTGAAATCAGTTTGCATTTCAGGCATGGTGAAGTAAAATTTATGAATATTTTTAAGAATAAGTTATTTTTTAACCGTTCAATTTTAATTAGAGGAAAAACGGTCCAATATTCACCGCAGATTTTTACAATTTTGCGACAGTCGATGTCTGACACACCTGCAAAAGGCTGATGTTGCTCTCTTCTTCCTCGCTGGAATCGTCCTCATTTCCGTGATGGATCGCGGCTACAAACATGTCGAGGCAGGCGAAATCGAACAGGGAATGAGTGAAGTCGAAGGGTTCTGTATGTGATGGGCTCGCTATTAAACTCCCCGCTTCACCCGACTCGACTCGAACAGGGCTGCACGCCACCCTCGGATCCTCGTCACTCAGTCACACGGAGCTTTCGACTCAGGTGAGGTGGTTTGATTTATATTTTGTCGGCTTTCTCGATTGATTTGCAGTCGAGACAACAAAAATGTTTTTGCACATTTGGCTTTTTTCACTCATTTCTTTATTTAATGCACTAATGAAGAAACATTGTTTTTCAATTCTACTCACGCTTTTAATTTTTAAAAAGTACTCATAAAGTAAAATTAAATTTTTGTTGGTCGAAATTCAAGCATATTCATATAGTTTACCTGACATATTTTCAATTTTTATTTGTTTATGGTTTTATCAATTTTATTTTATATCTTAAAACTTCGATTGGGGTTTTGTGACTAGGGAAATTGGTTGCTTAGAAATCAGATAAAATCATGATGAGAAAGAAAACAGCGATGATAAACAGACCAAAATGATCAGAAAGCGACCTATCTACACCCTCTCGGACCCTAAGAGGAAATCTCATCCCTCATTATGAAGGAAATTCATGCTAGATCAGCAAATAATACAGTCTATGATCAGTGAACATAAACATAAGAGGTTAAAATTTGCCAGAATTTACGCAGTATTTTTGCTAGAAAGCTTTTTTTTATCTGACGAAAAAAGTTTGACATTGTTCAGCTCATTGTCGCTACACAAACTGACAATGGTGAGATGGCTGTCCTTTAAATGTTTGCCATTTTGTATCTGTGTCTGTAGATGCAGATGTAGATGTAATTTTTTCAGGGTATGGTATACTGCGCCCTTTAAGAGCTATTGTATCCCCCGTTCTCTGCCTAAAGCACATCGGTGAGCCCTATTTCATCAAGAAACTTGATTAATAGGCCCGGTTTTAGTGGTTGAAGCTCTTCTATGGTCACATTATACATCCCAAAACGTTTCCTCCTGCGGGTTAATGAAGTCCGCAGTTTGTTAGTAAATGTGTTGGTGTCTCTTCTGCCTCCTTGCAGAATCTACATGTGCCATCTTGGGTTGTTCCAATTTTCTTTAAGTGTCCATTTAATCTGCAGTGTCCTGTTAGGATTCGCAGTCTGTTCCTGCTTCCTTTGACACATTCTGTGATTTCTTTCTTACCAAAATTGGTTAGAAGATTCTTGGATTGTTTATGTCCAATGAGTGAATTCCATTGTTCCTTCATTTTCATTTTGCCCTTCTATCTGAGATATCCGTTAATCACAGAAGGGTTCGGGTCCTATCAGCGGTGTGGCAGCCCCTTTCCTTGCAAGGGTGTCCACTTTCTCGTTACCTTCTACTCCCATGTGTCCTGAGAATCTGTGAATGTTTGGTTTGAGTCAGCTCATTTGATTTTGTCTGCTGGTATTCTGTATAAAACGTCGAACTGAAGTTGATTATCAGTTTTGTAATTGGTGGGGCAAGGAGGTCAAAACAGAGGGTATATTGACCAAAATGATCGGAAACGACCGGAAGCACATCTTTTCTCAGACCTAAAAAGGAAAGCTCACATTCCTAGATTCCACAGTAATCAGCAAAAATAAAAGCAGTTCATCCGAGAACAAAAAAAAACAAGTCTGGAATTTAAGAAGAACGGACCAAAAAGTGACGATAACCATACCCAAATTTTAGAAAACGATCAAACTAAAACCTACAATAAACAAGAAATAAAAAACGGCTTTTCCTTAAAAACACTGGGAAAATTACAGGCGCTAGATTTTGTTCAATGATGAAAGACTGTTTTCTTGCTGAATTGTCAATTTTTCTCTTTGGGTAGGAGAGGTGATGTACCTGTAGTTTGGCAATTTCCGAACATTTTAGTCTGCTTAAACTGTTTTGTCTGATATTTAAGTGATGCCATTTTGTCTGTGTAAGTTTGTGTCAGCTCGTATGAAGTCCGTTTCCGTTTCCGTTCTGTGCAATGGATTTGTCAAACCGGCGATGTCAAACCTGCTTGTGCATTTGGTAGGTCAAGGAATTAAATAATATAACAAACCAACAAAGAACGGCAGGAAAAAATGATCAGAAAAGACTAAACTACAAGCTCATCAGTCACCACTAACCTATGTTTCGTCGTTTGCGATCATTTTGTTTTTTTAAGTTGGATTTTGTATGTGTGTATGACAGACCAAACAGGGAGAATATACAGATCAAAATTATCGAAAACGATCAAACTACCCGCTATCACCTCAAGAAAGAGAGAATTAAAATATGCCTATGCCACGAAAATTCATAGTGGATTAGCAATAAAACATTTCATCAATGGAAAAAACTGGAAGATTACTTTTTTACGTTCTTCTTACGTTCATTGTACCCATCTGAGTCACAAGGGGACGACCGGGTTGATGTTTGACGGATTTTGCACAAACTTTTTTTGGTGATTCTACACTACAAAATATCGGTCACGTATCCGCCACTTCTTCAGAATAGGCCCTAATTTCGATAAAAAATTTGAAAGTATAAACTTTGCCTTTTTAAAATTATTTCGCCGTTCTACTTACTACATTTTACAGCATTTTGTTCTAGATTGCAATAAAAATGTAATAAAAGCTATCAAAGTTTGTCAATAACCAAAAAATTTTTAAAAACTAAATATTTTAAAAAAAAACTAGGTTAGACATTTTTTTCGTGAAACTGATATGAAATTTTGTTTCCGCACGTCTAGAGACCCATAAATACAAAATTTTGTTTGAATTTAAATTTATCGATTTTTTTGAACCCTAAAATTTTTCCGAGTTTTAACAATCCGTTCTCAGAATATCTAATTGAAACAGTTAAAATTCAAAAACGGCTAAAAGAATTTTAATGACAACTATACCATTTGCAAGAAGAGAAATGTAGCTTTGTATCGAGGTATGTACCATAAAAATGTATAAAAGTTTTCTAATAAAATACGTAAAATAAGAAAATATTTTGAAATAAACGTGAAAAACGGTTTGTGATCACATTTTTAAAATATACTAGCATGTAAGGGTACAAAAATAATAAAAAATATAAAAAAAAAAAAAAAATAAAACGGACCAACAGTTCGGCATGACACGGAAGTTGTGCGGGGTTAGCCTATTCCAAACAGTTATTAAAAAAATAAATAAAACGGACCAACAGTTCGGCATGACACAGACGTTGTGCGGGTTTAGCCTATTTTAAGCCGTTATTAAAAATAAATAAAACGGACCAACAGTTCGGCATGACACAGACGTTGTGCGGGTTTAGCCTATTCTTAAGACGTTATGTAAAATTCATATTTAATAATTATTGAATAAATACTTCTTTCCATTTAATGTTACTTAATTTTCTGTTTCTAAATTATTTCAAAAATTATCTTAAAAACCCCACTTAAAATGTTTGTATATTTATTATTAATTGCCTTAAGTTTAAAAACGAACATGATAAGGGATATTTTTATTTTAGTTATTTGAAACTACTCGCAGCTGTTCTTTCCGTATTTGTATGTTCCGATACCTCACCAAGTGTACTTTTCAGCTCAAAAGCCTCATGAGTGATTATATTAACCTCAAATCATGTACATGTATAAACGGATGCCCAGAGTTGAGCCTATCATTTCTCACAGTTGTCACGAACCTGGGTGGACCGGAAAGGATCCCGGAAGGGCGAAGTCATAAATACTTTTAATTTAGCTAATATTGTTTCTTTATTCGTAGATCTACTCTCTTTACTCTCTAATTCCACCTCCGCTGGTAGGAAACCGAAGGAGAGAGGGTGACAAAAACTGGTAGCAGAGAGTTTAATTCCCAGCAATTACACTTTTTGCAAAATTTAATTTTAGTCGCAATTAAATGATCATAAATCGTTATTTAAAGATTAAAAAATTATTATGTTTGGTGTATTAATTTCATTGTTCGTTAAGATACAAACAAAAATGTTCTAAGACGCTCAGAATATTCTAATTTGGTATGATTTAAAAAGATAATTCAACATAATAAACCTTCTGTAATCAAAGTACTTGAGAAAATAGTCAAAACTTGGATTTGACCTCCTTGTGATTCTAGCATTTTAACACCTTTAAATACTTTCGCGGAAATCGGTGCAAATTAATTTTTTGACTGATAATTTCGACGATCTTCTGCGTGACTGATTCTAGTGCAAGCTCTAACATAATTTTTTTCAATGTCTGGAAAACCATGTCTTTCATGGTTAGATAATTAGTTTTAAAGAAATTGTCAAGTGCAGTTTATAACTGTATCAAACATTAAAATTCAATTAAAAAATCAGAAATAATTTCTGACAGTGATATTTTCTTATTCTTATTTTTATCTTATTTTATGTATTTTCTTATAGAAATTTTTACATATTTTCATGGTACATACATCGTTAAAAAGCTACGTTTTTTTTCTTTCAAATGGTATGTTTGACGTTAAAACCTATTAGACGTTCAATCAGATATTTAGAGAACGACTTCTTAAAAATCGGAAATATTTTAAGATAAAAAAAAATCGATAAATTTAGATTCAAACAAAAATTTATATTTAGGAGTCTATAGAGGTGTTGAAACAAATTTTCGTATTAATGTCATAAAAGATTTTTTCATGACCTAGTATACTTGAAAAATATTTGGTTTTTAGAAATTATTTGGAGTTGACAAATTTTGATAGCTTTTACTATATTTTCATAGCAATCAGCATACAAAATGCTGTAAAATGATATATTCATATAGTTGATTTCAGTAAGTAGAACGGCGAAAAAATTAAAAAACGAAAAATTTAAACTTTCAATTTTTTTAAGCGAAACAAGGGCCTATTCTCAAGAAGTAGCGGATATGTGTCCCGTATTTTGGAGTGTAAAACCACCAAAAAAAAGTTTGATCCAAATCCGTGAAACACCAACTTGGTCGTCCCCTTGTCAGAAAAGTAAAACTTTGTGAGATTTTCTCTCTGGATCTGGGAGGAGATGAACTATGT